GGCTGGGGCTCCTCGGGCCTACCCATCTGTCAGCGTCTGCCCCTTATCCAGCGTGGTTTGGGGCCGCTCACAGTCAGGCAGGCCAGATTCCAATGCTGAGTCTTTGTTCTGCGGCTTAGTTTCTCCATCTAAAAAGTTATTAATAACACATTCCTGTTAAAACTGTTAATAAAATATTTAAGGTCAAATCTATTAATGAAACACTAATGTTGAACTACTGATAAAATGGCAATGTCAGAGAAGCCCCCAAAACTTCACAGAGGATGGAGCCAGTTCAGTATGAAGTGGGAGAGGGCACCGGCTGGGTAGCCTGCTGTGGCAGTCTGACCCCAGGTAACTGAATGCACCTCTTTGTGCCTCAGTTTCCCCATCCCCAAGATGAGCATATTATCCCTCATTTTAGATAGTTCCTCTGAAAAGGAAGTGACTTTTTTATGTGCACAGCCCTTGGCTCAGTCAGGCAAGTAGGAAGTGCTGTTTGTATTGATGTGTTTAGTCTTGACCTCCATTTCATGCCTCTGGTTTTGGGGGGGACTGAATCCCCCCATGCCTCAGTTTCTTCTTGGGGACATAAGACTACTACAAGCCCCTCCCATGGGGCTGGGGTGGTGCCAAGGCTCCTCACAGAGACCCTGGCCCCAGTGTCTCCACCAGGCTGATCCTGGCTGCTTCTGTCCCCTGGGGACCGGCTATAATTAGGTGCAACCACAGCAGCTACAAATTGTATTTTTGTCTTGGGGACAGCGAGTCTGGTTCCCACCAGGTGCCTGGTCATAGGGCCTTGGGGGCAGGAGGAGGTTCCCAGACAGACCCTTGAGACTCCTCATCCTCCTGGGCCCCAACATGACCTCTCTCTGAACCTCTATTTTTCTCATCGGTACAATGCGGACAATAATGTGGTTAGGGGGTCAGGAGAAAGTCGGGGTCTCCTCACTGTGGTGCCTCAGGCTCCCCCATTGAAGCCCTGATGGCCTGAAGCTGAACTACATGTTTCCCTAGGGGTGCACCAGAAGTGTCGGTGCCCCACAACTGACACAGTGCCCCCACCCCGGGCAAGGCCTAGGCACCAGGGAAGTGACAACCAACAGCAGGAGCACAGCTGGGCTCAGAGTTTCTGGGTGGTCTCACCTGAGAGGCCCAGCCTCCCTGGACCTCAGGGGCCTTGCCTGTGATGTGGGCATTCGGAGACCCGCCTCCGAGTGTGACATGCCCTGAGACTTGGTTTCCTTTCCTGCAGGACAGGGCAGGGCTACTGACCCCAGCATTCCGAGGGTAGAACACCTGGTATAGGCCCCCGAACTCGCCCAGACACCGAAGGTGAGGGCTCCCATTCCAGGGCCCCTGGGTCTTTCCTGGGGTGGGGGTAGAGGGGTGGGGGAAAGGCAACTGATGCTTCACAGAGCAGAAGATCTGGCTGGAACGGAGTGCGGATGTTTGTCCAGTGGAGACAGCAAGAGAGGGGAAAGGATCCAGAGACAGGGCCTGGGGTATGTCAGAGCAGGTGGGGGTCACGCGGGGACTTGTGGAGGAGGGCTGCGAGAGGAGGAGCCGGTTGTGAGCCCCTCTGCCCTGTCAGGAAACTTTTTGTCTGTTACTGCCCCTCTCCATGCCTCAGTTTCCTCACCCGGCAAAGGAGTAAGGGTTTGTTGATTCTGGGCAGCCCCTTGGTGGTTCCAGGCCTTAGTTTCTCCATCTGGAAAACGGACAAGTGGAATTTGCACTGTGTGGGATCTGGGCAGCCCCTTGGCAAACTCCGGCATCCGGAGCTCTGCCCAGAAGGAGGGTGCTTCCCTTTCTGACTTCTGCATCTCACTTTTTTCAGCTAAGTTAGTCCAGAGAGCTGTGCTAACGCGAGACATGTTGGCAGAGGAAAGCGGCGCAAGATCTGGGTTTTGGGCCCCCGCGGAGCCACCCCACAAAAGGGAGGGCAGAGAGTGGTGCCCAGCTCCGCGCCTCAGTTTCCTCGTTTGTCCCGGTAGGGGCTTCCCCAAACGGTCCAGCGGTGAGGCGGGGCAGTGCTCCTTCTGCCCCCTCCCCGCCGGCCCCGCCCCCGCAGCTGTCCAGAAAAGGTTCCGCGGCCCGGCATCCGTCCTGCCTCCAAGCTGTCGCGGAGATGCAGGGTACCCCCGCGCCTCCCTCGGCCTCTGGGCCTGGCTCTCCCCGGGACTCCCCACGCGGCTCCCCAGGGCTCTTCAGGAAGCTCCTGGTGAACCAGAGCATCCGCCTGCAGCGGCGCTTCACCGTGGCCCATCCGCTGTGGTGAGGCGAGAGGAGGGCTGGAGGGGTCACCGGAACCGCCAGGCTGGAGGTGGGAAGGACACAATTAGGGACAGCTGGGGCCGGGTCAGGGGTCAGGGCATGGATGCTCTGCCCCTCCCGCCCTTTCTCGGTGTCTGTCTCCTCCCGTCCTATCTCTGCGCCCCTCCACCCGCTGCCGGGGATGGAGCTAGCGGGGGTGGAGTGGGGGGGGACCAGCCGGCTGTTCCTTTCGAGCTGTGCAGCCCAGAGCAGAATGGGCTTAGGCTCACGTCTCCTCCTGACCCTCCCCGCCCGGGCAGGTGGCCTGAGTGTCTCGGGAGTGAGGGGAGAAGCGAGGGTCGCTCTTCCCCTTGGTCTGCTCCCCTCCATCCCTCCCGGCGCCAGCGACGAGATGGTCTGGGGGCTTCACACGGAACCCTCGGTGTCCTCGGAGGAAGATCGAATTTTGTGGAGGCCTTGGAGGCAGGGCATCCCTAGCAAGAGAGGAGTTGCGCGTCCCAGGCTGAGAGCGGGTCCGCGCAGCTCAGCTCCGTCGAGTCCTCCAAGGATTGGTGGTGACCTCTCTGGGTTCGAATCCTGGCCCTTCAGGAAGCGACTGTGAATTCGTGGGGTGTGAGGGCGAGGTTAGAGTCGGAAATGTAGCTTGTGGGCGCCGACTGCCTTTGGCACCTTGAGCCCGGTTTGGGCTGCATTCACACTCCTTTGATAATTTGGCACCTGGCGGCTCAGAGACTGGAGGTCCCTTCTCCAAACTCATATGGCCAGTGACAGCTGGGGGGTGGTGAGTGCAGTCGTGGCCATGGTCCCTGATGGCGTCATGACGACCCGGGAGGGGGTTCCAGGTTGGGGAGAGGGTCCCCAGGGCACCCACCAGACGCCTGTTAAGGGTGGTCTCTGCCCAGGGCTCTGGAGAGCCGAGGGGCGTTGAGGGAGCGCCCTCGGGTCCCAGAAGGTGAGGCTAGAGGATGACGGGTCCCTCCGAAGCCCCGTGCGTCAGTTTACCTGTCTAACCCAAGGAGAGACGTGCGGTTTCCACAGTCAGGGCGACCTAGCTCCGGGCCGCCTACGTCATGGAACCACACCCTGACCCTGCCGCTCCCAGCTAAATTTAGAGCGAAAGAAAAACAGCTCCCCCAGCTGCGGCCAACCCTTAATCCTGCGCGCCGGCTCATTGAATTCGAACCCAGCACCCTACTGGCCTCCCCCAGCTTCAGTTTTCCTAGGTATCCATGGGTGCCCTTTCCCAGAACCTGTGTGGAGAGGTGAGGAGGGCAGGGTTCGCCACTCCTAGGCCTCCTCCTCGGAGGGCGGGTTAGTGTATCAGCCACTAGTCCTTCTAAGAGTGTCCCTCCGCCCGCCCCCGCTCCCTTCGCTACTCAGGTTGGGGTTTAGAAGCCCCAGCCGTCTCCGTGACGTCTCGAAGGAGGAGCTCGGACGCACGCGTCCTAGTGGCTTCTCCCCGCGGCTAGCGCCGAGCAGGCGGAGAGAGGCGGAACAAGCCAAGCACTCCCGAATTTACCCGAGTGAGGCCGAACACAGGCGAATGACCCGAAAGCGTCCGAACCTACCCGAGCGCGGTCGCACGTAGCCAAATCAGAAGGAACCCACTGGACCCAAGTCGGCTGGATCAGGCCCAGTAGAACTTAGTCAAACCTGACCCTGCTTGACCGAGCCGCCCCGAATCCAGCTGAAACGGACAGAATCCTGCCGAATCCCGGATATGTGACTTGGTGGGGGATCAGGTGGACACTGGCCCTTGGCGAGAAGTCCCAAGTCGTGGGAGGTCCCCGGTGTTTCCCTGTTTCCCGCCCGCTCGCTCTCAAAGCCCGCGACCCACAGGCAGCCCCTCTTCCCGGTTGCTAACTCCGCCTCCAGAACCTCTGTTCTTGACCACATCCCCTCCCACTCTTTCTCTGACCCCAAGGGGGATGAGCACAGATTCCCCGTTACCCAGTCAGAGTGTGGTGGGAGGGACGGACAGGGCTGAGAGAACTGGGAGGGAGGAATTGGAGAAGGCTCGAGCAGGAGATGTTACGGGGAGGCTGGTGCTCCAGGAAGAGAGCACAGCCCTGCATAAGCCAGAAGGTGGATGAGAACCGGCAGAGCACCGGGCGAAAATGAAGCAGGGGAGCAGATGCTCTTGGGGCGTGGTCGACGGGGTGGGGGCGGGGGAACAGGTGATCCAAGGCGTGGCCAAAGCTGACTGGGGACGGGGCCTCTCCTGACTGGGGGGAACCTCGGAACTGGCGGGATCTAGGCAGGACCCAAGCCTCTGAAGAGGGGAGAGCCCAGAAAGTCTTTTCCAGTCCCGGTGAACTTACCATGCGACCCGGACCTCAGTTGCCTCCTTAGTAATATGGATGCCCAGTTGTCGTCCTCAGGTGCTCAGTTATAACTCCCTGAAAGCGCCCTCAGAGAAAACTCGACCAGCCTGTATGATAGACAGGGTGGTTGATGTCCAGAGAAAGGATGAGGCCTACCGGGGATCACACAGACATTTGGGAACAGATCTGAGACTCAGCCCTGGAGCCCAGATTCGTCCCAGTGAGAAGACTCTGGGTACAGACGTGGAGGCCAAGGCATGAGGGGTGCGGGGTCCCTGAGTAGGGGTGACTGAGGCAGGTGGACAAACTGTAGGGTACTCCTTCGTGGCCCACGGTTAGGCTCCAGGGAGGACGTGAAAGAACAGGTTCGAGCCATCACAGGGCCCTCTGCCCTGACCACGCCTCCTCTGCTTCCAGCTTTGACCTGGAAAATGCTCTCTCCTGTGGGAGAAGCGCCCTGGACACCCAGGTGGGGCCTGGCCTTGGCCAGGTCGTCCAGGCCTCTGCCCAACACAGCCAGCGGCGCGAGTCCTTCCTGTACCGGTCCGACAGTGACTACGAACTCTCGCCTAAGGCCATGTCCCGGAACTCCTCTGTGGCCAGTGACCTGTGAGTCTGAGGCTAGTGGGATGACACCTCCTTGCCTCTTCCTCCTTCTTTTATTCCTCCATTCAGCATACCACCTTCAAGTGGCCATTCGAGCAGGGCTTTGAAGTTTAAGTAGGAGTTTGCCGAACAGCCACTTACTCAGCTGAACTTGCCTAGAATGATATCTGGTGACCTGTGCTTGAATTTAGGCTGAGGTTGGGTGGAAATCCAGAAACATTAAGGGCAATTAGTAGCAACTGAACAAACACCGTGATTTGAGCTTCTTGGTAGCCATAATAAAAAGGGAGATGATATCATCTTGCCACCAAGATCCCTGCTGCTCCTGGGACTCAGTTTCCCCATAAAGTGAGGGAATGGCTGGAGAGGCTGCGGAGGCTTTCAGGGAAGAGCCGGGTAAGGGGAGCCCGGGACTAAGAGGGCACGGGCAGGAGGAGTGGACGGAAAGACGGGCTGGCCTGAGTGCAGGCACAGGCTGGAAGACGGGGATGCGCAGGGGTTCTCCCCGGCCTCTCCTCCTGATGTCCCATCTCCCCACAGACATGGAGAAGACATGATTGTGACGCCCTTTGCCCAGGTGGGTGCCCACTCCTCCCTCCTCCCTGCAGAAGCCACGCAGGCTAAGTCGACCCTCTCCATTTCCGATGCTGACCATCGCCCTCCCGACAGGTCCTGGCCAGCCTGCGGACAGTTCGGAGAAATGTTGCCGCGCTGGCCCACCTGCAAGGCCTCAGAGCAGCCAAGTACACAGGCGGTGGGGCAGGGCGGGGCAGGGTGGTGGGGAGAGGGGCCGGGGCCAGGGGCCGGCAGATAAGGTGGGTTGGGTGGGGGTGGGGTCATGGGTGAGGCAAAGCCACCCCTGAGTGGACTGCACTGCAGGCAGGCGTCCGTCGGAAACCCCCCACCTGGCAGTCAGCCCCCTCCACCTACAGGTAATGCTCCTGCTCCTACCCCTCTTCCCCTGTGGGACCACTGTCGATTCCTTCTCCTTGGTGACCTCCCCAGTCCATGGCCCTTTAGGCTGTGCTCATTGGAACCCCCCCAAAACACCCTCCGGGATGGAGTCTACCATACCCATATTACAGATGGGGAGGCTGAGGCCGGAGAGGGGCAGAGACCTGCCCATAGTCATACGGCCACTTGGGGACATATCTGCAACTCAAATCCTGGGGTCCTGAGTGGCCCCACTGGGAAGGGCTCTAGGCTCCAGATGTAGAGATGCAGGCATAAAGGGTGTGGGGTCCTCGAGTCGGGGGGGGGGAGCAGGCCCCTGACGGCTCAGCCCCCAGAGGACAGTGGGCAGAAGCTGGCTTTGGAGACACTGGACGAGCTGGACTGGTGTCTGGATCAGCTGGAGACATTGCAGACCCGGCACTCGGTCGGGGAGATGGCCTCCAACAAGGTGAGGTGGGCCGGAGAGCTGAGGTCACTTGCCTCCACCCACAGTGCCACCTCATCACTGTCCTCACCTTCCCCTGCAGTTCAAGCGGATGCTGAACCGGGAGTTGACTCACTTGTCCGAAACCAGCCGCTCCGGGACCCAGGTGTCGGAGTACATCTCCCGGACCTTCCTGGGTGAGCTGCAGTGGGTGGTCCCTGCCTGGGCAACATGCAGAGGTAGGAAGGAGGAAAAAAAAAAAAAGAAAGAAAGACTTCTATTACGGACCTCAGTCTGTGGAAGACGGAGCCAGCCACAGACACCCCCAGGTGCCTGGGTGAAGACGGACCGGAGTGGGGAGCAGGAGGAAATTCCAGGGGGCGGGGGACATCAAAGCTACGGTTCTAAGGCGTTTTCCAAGAAGGAGATGGAGGAAACCAGAAAGGACACGGGGTTGTTTGGGGACAAACACTGAACCCCAGGTTCTCAGGGGCCATGTCCATCATAAGGGGCTACTGAGGTCAGCCATGAAGGGGGGCAGCTATAGGCCATACGGGGACTTCGCTCTGAGCTTACTCTGATTCCGGTGAGAAGAAAATAGGTTACCCTGAGGCCTAGCAAAGCCTGGGCCTGAGGCTAGGCAGGACTACCCTTGCCGGTGAATCGGCTTCTCTCTGAGTCCCACCCTGCCCTCCCCCCAGACCAGCAGACCGAGGTGGAGTTACCCAGGGGGACCCTCATGGAGCCCCCGAGGCCAATGTCCCAGATCAGCGGCCTGCATGAGCTCCCCTCCAGTGCCAACGTCTCCACAGCCACCATCCCACGCTTGGGGGTACAGACTGACCAGGAGGGCCAACTGGCCAAGGTGGGTTCCCAACCAGAATGCTGAGACCTGGGCTAGAGCCCTGGTTCTGTTTGGATGTCCATCTTGAGCCTCAGTTTGCCCATTAGTACACTGGGCAAGTGGGGCTCAATACAAGCTCTGGGGCCTGCGGGAGGGTGTTGTTGGGCTGGGGTCAAGCTCCAGTTCTCCACGTTTTAGGAACTGGAAGATACCAATAAGTGGGGGCTTGACGTGTTCAAGGTGGCAGAGCTAAGCGGGAACCGGCCCCTCACAGCCATCATATTCAACATCTTTCAGGTACCTCCCATGCCTTTGGATTCTAGTCCCCCTGGGTCTCTTTCACCTCTTTCTACTTTAAGACCTCAAGGGACACACTCCTCCCTAACACCCCTAAATGGGATATTTGAGCAGGCCATTGAGGGATGACTAGGAGGAGCTCACTAGGCTGCATAGTTCATTGCGGACTGTCAGCAAGCCTCAGCCCGGGGCCCGGGCCTGAAGAGACCCAGTCTGGAGGGAACTGCTGCGGGGGTCAGGGACAGACCAGAGAGGAAGGACAGAGACCAAGTGAGTTCAATATTGAGGGCATCCTGGAAGGCGGAGCCTTTGAGAGATGGCTAGACGTTCAAAAGGAGAGAAGGCGTAGGAACAGAGTGTGCTGCCGCCCAGAGGCTGAAGTCCTAACTGGGGGCCTGTGATGAACCAGAAACGGGACCTGCTCAAGACCTTCCAGATCCCAGAGAACACACTTGTCACCTACCTGCTGACACTGGAGGGTCACTACCACCCTGATGTGGCCTACCACAACAACTTGCATGCCGCTGATGTGGCCCAGTCGGCACATGTGATGCTGGCCATGCCTGCCCTTGAGGTATGGCCCTACGAGCAGGCTGGGTGGGCGCAGGGCGGAGGGCGAAGGGTGCAGGGCGCAGAGAGCCCGCCCCTCACCTCTTCTGCCCATGCCTGATCAGGCCGTGTTCACAGACCTGGAAGTCCTGGCTGCCATCTTTGCAAGCGCCATCCATGACGTGGACCACCCTGGAGTCTCCAACCAGTTTCTCATTAACACCAGTGAGTCAGGTGCCCCGCCTCCACCTGCCAATTATACAAGCTCTGGTGGTCCCATCCCTGCTTTGAGACTAACCCTCCTCTTTGTGAAATGGCTGTGACAATCTTCTCTACCTCAGGTACTCAGAGCGGGTTCAGGTACATAGTAGACACTCATTAAATGAGAGAGTAACAAACGTGGCAGAGCTGATCAGGGCCCACTGAGGTTTTATTTTATTTTTTAGTTTTTAAGATTTTATTTATTTATTTTTAGGCAGAGGAGAAGGGAGGGAGAGAGGGAGAGAAGCATCAACGTGTGGTTACCTTTCACGTGCCCTCTACTGGGGACCTGGCCCGCAACCCAGGCGTGCATGTGCCCTGACTGGGAATCGAACTGGTAATCCTTTGATTCGCAGGTTGGCACTCAGTCCAGTGAGCCACACCAGCCTGAGAGGCCCATTGAGATTTTAAAGTTTGGGGTCCTTTTAGGTATCTGAAAAACTCAGTCAATAAGCGATTATTGGGTACCTCTTGGATATGTCCCAGAAGAACTGAGGTTAAGAGTGGAGCTCTCTCACTGGAGGACCCCAGAGTCTAATTATACAGACTCAGCTGTTCGTTCAACCAGCACTTAGTACACACTGTCTGCTGCCATGTCAAGTCCTTAAGGAGACTCCAGTCTTGAGGAGGCAGAGCAGAGCACAGATGCCCCCAACCCTGTGGAGTCAGAGCATGACCAGCAAGAGACAGGGTTGTAGAAGGCTTCCTGGAGGTGGGGGCATTAGAGTTGGTGCTTCAATGCATGAGTAGGAGTTTGCCAAGTGTTCACCAGATCTGCCTTTTGGTGAAGCTGGTTGGTCGGCAGATGTCGAGGCTCTCCACCTTCCCCACAGACTCGGAGCTTGCGCTTATGTACAATGACACCTCTGTGCTGGAGAACCACCACCTGGCTGTGGGCTTCAAACTGCTGCAGGCTGAGAACTGCAACATCTTCCAGAACCTCAGCACCAAGCAGTGGCTGAGTCTGCGCAGGATGGTCATCGACATGGTGAGGCTACAGTGATGGATGGGGTGGGTGATACTGACCGGGTTGGGGGTGCAGTTGAACATGGGCATGTCTCTGCTTTGAGCCTGAGCTTCCTGGTCTATAAAATGGATGGGACGTGGGACGGGGTGACCAGGCCCTTGGTCCTGGCCGCAGTTCACACACAAGCAATGTGGAAACTGAGCTTTTGGGGTTTCTGGTGCACCTTTTTCTGAACTTTTAGTCTGCCTTTTGATATTTTCCAGATTGGAAAGACCAGTAAGTGTTGGGGTCTTATGCCTCATTTGTTCATTTTACAAGCATTTATTGAGCACCTATTGTTGCTTGCACTGTACGATGACCGGAGGCAGTTCTGGCCTTTCGGAGATTCCGGTTTGTGGGGGAGATGGACACGTGTGTGGGGACCGTAAGGGGGACTCCTAAGCAGAGCTGTGATGGATGGCCTGCAGACAGCTGTGTTGGGGGGGATGCTCAAGGTCAGGGAGGGCTTCCCCGGGAAGGAGCACTGAAGCTGGGGCCTGCAGGGTGCGCAGGGTGGGGGCTGGGAAGGGTGTTCCCAGCAGAGGGGATTGCACATGGGGAGGTCTCAGAGGAAACCAAGGCTCCCAGGGAAGAGAAACTAAAACTTGGGGAGACAGAGTGAGGCAGTGGGTGGTAGGCATCATTCGGTGGAGGTTTGGGAAGAAGTCTTGAAACTTTTGTCTGATTCTCAGAGAAGCCCACAGGCTGGGGGCAGGTTACTCCAGGGCTGGGTGCACATGGGTCCAGGAAAGTTGATTTTTAAACAGCTGTATTTGAGGCTGAACTTCCCTCCAGTTGCTGAAAACAGCCCTCTCAGGCACGCTGTGGTCACAGGGAGATTTGGAGAGCTCTAAGTCAGGTCCCTTCCAGCTTCAAGTTAACCCGTGGCTCCCATGGCCCTTTGGAGAAGCCCCCCCCCCAGTCCTCCCTGAGGCCCTCTCTGCACCTGTCAACCTCACTTGCTCCGGCCGTAACTGCTTCCTCTGTGTTCCTCAGCTCATCCAGCCCCAGGGCCTTTGCACAGGCCATGTCCTGGGCTGGGCCTCACTGCTGCCCTTAGACACCTCTCACCTCAGCCCCCATACTTAATGTTTAACATGTGGGATGCACCCCATGAGCCCAACGAGCTCATAGATAGGACCATTGATTCAGTTCCTCTTGTGACCTAGGTTTGCAGCCAATATCATTACAGTCCCCCATTGTGCAGGTGAGGGTGCTGAAGCTCAGAGGGCCGAGAGTCCAAGTGGGTATGATGTCTGGGAGTAAGGAGTGGGGTGGGAGCAATCTTCATACCTGTCATTCTCCCCCACCCCCGCCCCCAGGTGCTGGCCACCGACATGTCCAAACACATGAACCTGCTGGCTGATCTCAAAACCATGGTGGAGACCAAGAAGGTGACGAGCCTGGGAGTCCTGCTGCTGGACAACTACTCTGACCGTATCCAGGTGTGTGGCTGGGCAGACCCCGGGCCTTTCGTTTCCATGCCTCTCGTTTAGCTGCATTTATGAAGTGTCGACTGCGTGCCAAACTTGAAAAAACAGAGGCACCAAGACTCACATGACTACCTTAGCCACTCGTTTCCCTCCTGGGCCTCAGTTTCCTCACCCGTAACAGGGATGCATCCATGGCACCAGCCTGGCGGTGGGGATTAACCAGGCCTGGCGGTGGCCTGGCCCGAGTTCTCCCAAGCCTCGATCTCCGCAGGTCTTGCAGAACCTGGTGCACTGCGCTGACCTCAGCAACCCCACTAAGCCGCTGCCCCTGTACCGCCAGTGGACAGACCGCATCATGGCTGAGTTCTTCCAGCAGGGAGACCGTGAGCGAGAGGCAGGCCTGGACATCAGCCCCATGTGTGACAAGCACACGGCCTCGGTGGAGAAGTCCCAGGTCGGAGGGCAACTGGGTCCATCTGGCAGGCACTTGGCATGGGGGAGGAAAAAGAATGGCTGAGCCCACCCTATGAGTTCTGGCTTGACCCCAGCTGGTCAATGAGGGCGTGCGGCCTAAGGGCCTGGTCTGCCCTGGGTTGTGTGGAATCAGGCTGGCGCGCGTTCTCTTTGGGCTGCAGGGAGAGGGATCTGCACTTGTGGATTTGAAAATGTCTGTTCTGAGTGGTATGGGTGTAGGGAACCTGGAGGGGCTCTTAGTCTGAGGGAACATACGCACCCATCCCTGAGGGGTTAGGGCTAGGGTGGAAGGAAAGACTTAGAGGTTGGGGCAGCCCAGAGGGGCAAGGGGGGCTTCCTAAAGGAGAGGTTGTTTGAAGAGAGGTTTGAAGAATGAGTAGGAGTTGGAAAATGACATTCCAGGGAGAGAGAGCAACCTAGGCAAAGGCCTGAGGCTGGACTGGGTGTAGGTTCCACAGTGACTCACAGCCTAGCTGCTTCTTCCCCCACAAGCCGCTATCACCCCACAGGTGGGTTTCATTGACTACATCGCCCACCCGCTGTGGGAGACGTGGGCTGACCTGGTACATCCAGATGCACAGGACCTGCTGGACACGCTGGAGGACAACCGCGAGTGGTACCAGAGCAAGATCCCCCGCAGCCCCGTGGACCCCGCCAGCCCCGGGCAGGGCGGCCATGACAGATTCCAGTTTGAGCTGACTCTGGAGGAGGCAGAAGAGGAGGAGGAGGAGGAAGAGGAGGGAGAGAGAATGTTGGCTCAGGAGGCCTCGGAGTCACCTAACACTGAACTCCTGTCCTTTGAGGCCAGCCCAGACCCTGAGGCCTTATGCCTAGACAACCAGAGGACCGTGGGCAGGCCCTGTGTGGACCATGAGGACAACGTGACAGCTGAGTCATTTGGCACTTAATGGTCCCTAATGAGTGGGTGGACTTTCCAGGAAGAGGTCCCAGGTGACCCACGCCTTGCCTTCTCCACACACTGAGAAGGACAACCAAGCTTTTAGTTATAGGCAAGTTTCAGGGTCAAATCCAAGGCATTTGGCTTGGGTCCACTCTGATCCCCAGCTTTGCTAAGAAAGCTGTCCTCCAGAGCCAGCTCCGAAGTTGGGGCTGGGTCACGCCCAACTTCATCAAAGGTCACTCTTGAGCCATATCCATCACTTATTCTTTCATTCTTTATCAGATATTTATTGGGCACCTATTGTGTGCCAGACCTATGCCTGCTATGTGCCTCTGGGGTAGCCATGTGCAAGGCGGGGGAGAAGTCAGCTCCGAGGAGAGACCCCCCACTGGTGCCTCCCTTTCATCTGCTGGGAAGCTCCCTGTAGGAGAACCAGACCTTGAATGGGGAAATGCGTGGCACCAGAGTTTTATCCAGTCCCAACTCTGGTTCTGGGATGTTAGGGGGCAGCAAAGAGAGGGCTCTGTGTGGGGACATATCTGAAGACTGATGTGGCCTGTTGCTACTTGTGCATCACAATACTTGTGCGTTATTGCTTTAAGTAGTTATAATTTCTGTCTTCAGTGGTGTCTCTGGCCCCAGGGCACCATGCTGGCCCCCTTTCACATTCTTCCTCTTATAGAACAGCAACAAAAGCACACAATTTCCCCCGCCACACACAATCCCCCTTCTGATTCTGAGTGTGTACCAGAATGCCCCTGGGGAGGCCTCCTGGGTCTCAGCCTCCCCTCTGTGGCCTAATCCTTGTAGTTGGGTAAACTTTGTCTGTAACCTCCCTGAAATATCTTAGAAATTTGGGGCACTTAATGTTTCTTTTGGGTTAAATAAACCCTATTACCCTAACTAGTATCGAGTTCATTTCATGGATGGGGACACTGAAGCACAGAGTGGTCCTGTTGCCCGCTCAAGGGCACGCAGCTGGGTGCTGGATATTAGCCAGCGGCGCCCCCTGGCGGCTGGAGGCGCGGCAAATTTGGGGGTCTTCCTCGCCTGGCCGGCCGCTCCTCCCGTATTTCTCTTGGAGCTCAGCCCGCGGCGCAGGTGGCCTCGCTGGGTGGGAGAAGATGAGGCACCTCTGTGCTCAAGTCTCGGGTTCAATTCCCGTATACGGGAGGCTCAGTATTCCACACCTCAACTTGCCTCCTTCCCAGCGTGCCTGAAAATTTATGCATAACACAGGTCATCGCAGTAGCCTCTGGCTTCCAGAACAGCTGGCTTCATTACTAAATGATTCCAATAATTCATCATCATCATAATTACTGATCAAATTCCACAGAGGGAGAATTAGACGTCATCTGGGTCATGAACTTGAAGCATTTCCTTCCAGATCTTCAAAAGGCAGAAATTTAGGGGATAATTATTTGTAATTTTTTCTCCTTCCCCTTTACTTATAAATAATACGTGTTCACCATAAATAATTTGGAAATAATGGAAACAAAGGAGAAACTAAAGTTCAGTTATCACCTCACCCATAAACCATCTGCCTTCAGCATTTTGCCTTCTTTTCCTCCACTCGGTCATAAGAACACTCATATATTCCCCTTCAGTTTGGGCCACAGACATCCCTCCCACTCCCCCTTACTGATTACACTCTTTCCACACCCCAAGCACAGCCTCTGCCCCACCGACAACGGGCCTTTGCACATGCTCTGCACACCACCTGGAATGCTTCTGTTCCTCCTCATCCTCATTTTTTGGGTCTTGGCTCAGCACCTCTCTCCTCTGGGGGGTCCTCCCTGCTTCACCCCACCCCCAGGATGGCACTGGTGGAAGCTCTGGGGGAATTCTTTGACTCATGCCCACCAGTGCTCTCCAGACCGTGATTTTGGGATGCTTGGGTCAGGTCCACTGCACCTGATTCTCAGTGTCCCCAAAGGTGGACTGTCCCTTAACCTCCTGAAGACTGTAATTTCACAGACAAAGTGGGCTCTTTGTGAGGGTCCCATAACTGTAACAACAGGTAACATTTGAGGAAAGCCACGCTCTGAGTGGGGTGGGACCTTGGAGGATTTGGGGCACTTCTCCCATCCAGCTCTGTCTCCCCTGCCACGCAGGAGACCCGTCCAGAGTATGCAGGCTCCCCATTCAATCATCACTAATTCCAGAGCCAAAAGTTGATTCTTAGCAATAAAGGCTTTGCGTCACTTTTATGTTAAAATACAAATTTCTCTGGGACAAGATCGTGCACATTGTGAGGTTTTTCCCCTGAGGAAAAAAGCGGTATTTCCGAGTGCCACCCACGTATGAAACCCCAAGCAGCGAGGTCAGCCAGCCAAACAGCCTGCAAGTCCTCACTTCCAGCACATGCCTGGACCAGCCACGCCTGGAGCCCCACCCAGAGCTGGGACTCCACTGTGGGTTTATTTTTTAAAAATATTTTTCTGAATTCCCCTAATTCTCCGCAGTGGGTTTGTGATACTTTTGTAGGTGAAGTAAAGGAGAGGGACAAAACTGTTACCTTTAGGTAAAACAGATTTCCCAAATGCAAGCAGAGTGGGGGGGACATTCCGCACTTCCAGGGCTCTGGGGGCATGCGTGGATTGAGGGGGCAGCCTCCGGCATAAAATTATCCTGGTCTTCGAGCCTCCGCACGTGGAGAACTTTTTATAAATAGGATGAGCCCCCCCCCTCATCTCTGCCTCCTGGGGAGCAATGGTGGGGATGGGGAGGAATCAGGATTTTCCCGGGGGCACACGCCTCCTGCTGTGTCTGGGGATCCGAGTGAGTTGGGGGGCGGGAACTGGAATAGGGCCAAAGTCTCTTTCCCCTGCCCCCGCAATTCTGACTTTCCCCCTCTCAGGATTTTGGGGAAAAAACGATGGAGCATCTCAGCCCCCAAATTCTCCACTCTGAGTCTTGTTTCCTCAGGGTAGAGGGAGGGGTTCTCTCCGGCCCTGTCTTTAACTCAGGAACTAAGGAAGGGTAAAATCTCTTCCAGCCTCGTGTCTTTAGCCTCGCTCGTACCCTCCCTCTTCTCAGGTCTTTTATCCAGGCTTTGAGGGTTTAGGGGACAGGCAGTTTTTTTGCCCTATTTCCGCCTTTTCTTCAAATTTTTCTCTGGAAAATGGGGCACAGGCAGGGGAGGAGTTGTTGGATCGTCCGTCGCCCCCTTTCTTTCTTTTCTGGGAACTGGTGGGGAGGGGTGACTCTCTTGGTCCCTCTATCTTCTTTCATCTCAGAAAACAGGTGCATCTACCAGCCCAGACCACTTTGAGGGTCTAATATCTCAGAAAATGGACGGGGTCTCTCTCTTATTTCCACTTTTTCTCCTTTCGTACTTATTTTGAATCCCATAAATAGGGGTATGAAGCAGCTCTCAACCTCCCTTCCTCTTTTCCGAAATTAGGGATAGGGAGCGTTTGACAATTAGTCACACCATCCTAGCCTGGGTGGGGGCCGCCGGAGAGTCCCCCGCTGGGGAGAGCGGTGCAGGGGAAGGGGAACGCCCCCTGACGACCCGGGCTTCGCCAAGGCCTCACCTGGTCCCTACGGCTCGGGAGCCACCACGGGGGTGGGGGGGATAATAATCTCTGATTGGCTACTCGGTCCGTCGCTGGAGTGCTTAAGCCAGTGAGGGATTGCCGCGCAGCCCCGCCTCCATGACACTCACGAGAGGCGGAGCCGGCAGGTAATCCCTCCCTTCTAAACGTTTCCTCCCGCTACTGGATGCGCACGCTACGCCCCGCCCCATTCGTGCGTCAATCTGCGCAGGAGCCCCGCCCTCCTTAGCTCTACGGACTTCAGTGGACCACGGCTCCTAGCGCGGCTCCGCCCCATGATGGCGTCACTGCTGTATCTGCATGTGAGGCCCCGCCCCGCTCTTTGCAGGACGTCACCGCAGACTGCAGGGGCTCGAGCCGCTGCCGCGCAGCCCCACATCAACGCACTGGGGGCTCCTCACCGGCTCTGCCAGAAAAGTCGCCGTCGCTAAGGTCGTTACCGCATCTGTGCAGGGCAAGGTGAGCTCCTAGGCGGCCTGGTGCACTCCCGCTCAAAGCACCTAAGTAACCTTTATTTGGCTGATGGGCTGGCGGGGATGGGCGACGAGGTTGGCGGGGGTTAAATGGAAGGAGGATGCGGCGGTCGCGGACATCGGGAGGAGACTCCCGTCACCTGCCGGACCCTCATCCCCCAACCCCCGCCTCTGCGGCGGAGGAGGAGGGGAGGCGAGTACCTTGCGGGAAGCTGTGCGTGCGCGTGCGCGGGGTGTGAACACGCGTGTGCGCGCCCGCCTGTGTCGGCAGGTCTGTGTGTACCCTTGCTTGTGTACCTGGGTATGCCCGTGTGATCCAGCGGGGATCCTGACCCAAGTGTGTCTTTGCTGCACGCTTGTTGCGAGAAACGCATGGATTGTGCGTGTGCTTGCACGGCCGAATATATATACATACACGGGGATGCGTGCCCGTGTGGGTTACGTACACGCACCTGCATGGGCGGAGGGCGTCGTGTGCACGTGTGGATTTGCACCTTTGTATATATGCATGACAGATGTCTGCGTGTGTCTCTGTTCTGTGTCCTAGTGTGTTCAGCCCTCCTGTGCACGCGCATTCACGGGTGTGTGCCCTGCTGTGTGCACGTGACTGTGCACGCTCCACCCTTATTACATTATGCAGCTGCCTCAGCTTGAACTCCCCCATCCTGCGAGTGAGGGGGAAGAGGGGCGAAGAGGGGTTGCAGACAGTGTCCCTGTGGACTGTCCACGTGTGCCAACGTTGGGTTCTGAGAAACATAAATGATTGATGGGGGGCGGGGCCGGCCGCAGTCACCCCCACCGGGCGCAGCCATAGGGTTTAGGGTTACAGCCTGACCTGGGGCACAGACCTGCTGGAGGGGCTACAGGAGTGACCCCATACCGGTTTCTCTGAGCTCCTCCCTGAAATGCCCCCCCTCCCCCTCCTTTCAAGGTCACAGAGGGCCCTCTGCCCTGGGCTCCACAGTTAGTACTGGGGCTTCTGATGGTGTGCTGATTCCTCCCTTTGGCCCTGGTTTTTTCTCCATTCTGTGCCTGGGCCTGGGGATGGCAGGGGTACCCCTCACACTAGCCTGCACCCCGCATCCCCAGATGGCGTCAGCCACAGACTCGCGCTATGGACAGAAGGAGTCCTCGGACCAGAACTTCGACTACATGTTTAAAATCCTCATCATTGGTAACAGCAGCGTGGGCAAGACATCCTTCCTCTTCCGCTATGCAGACGATTCCTTCACGCCTGCCTTTGTCAGCACTGTGGGCATAGACTTCAAGGTCAAGACCATCTACCGCAATGACAAGAGGATCAAGCTGCAGATCTGGGTGGGTCTAGCTGGGGGACGCCCAGCTTCATCACTCTCTCTTACCTGAAAAGCAGCCCCAGCTTTGCCTGTCTCTTTCATTCATTCATTCATTCATTCATTCACATAACTGGGCATTTACCATGTGCTTACTGTGTACCAGAGGTACAGAAGAGAAAGCCCCTGCTCCTCCATCAGAGCCTGATTGGTGCTCCCCAGGGCTGGGGGAGGAGCCAATGCTGGGGTCTTTCCTTTACCTGTATCTGCAGGAGCATCACTGGGCTTGGTGCCTCAATTTCCTCACCTGCAAGTTCTTCCCAGCAAGTCTGTTTGAGGTTTCACTGGATGTTGGCCCCTAACCTCATTGTCTAACACAGGCACAGCCACCTCCTCCAGGGTAACCTGGTTGCCTCCCCCAGCTCCATAGAGGTGTGGAGCGTGTTAACCCCCAGGGCTCCCACCTCATGCAGGATAAACCCTACACTTGTCCCCTGGCCTAGGAGACCCTGCCTGGTCAGTTCCACATCAGCATCCTTGGCCTTGTGCTCTCTGCCTGGATTGGCCTTCCCCTGATTGTCCCATGGCTCTCTCCCTAACTTCCTTCAAGTTTTTAAACCCTGCCCCAGCCCACACTGCCCATCCCTGTCAGGCTTGACTTTCCTCCTCGATCCTATGGCTCTCTGACATAGGATACATTTTATTCCTTTTCGTGGGTTGATTGTTTGTTTCCTGCCTTGAACCGTCCATTCCACAAGGGCAGTGCTTATTGTCAGTTTGGTTTACAACTGTGTCCCTAGTGCCCAGTGTGGTGTATAGCACAGGACAGCACCCTATACACACGTATTGATGAATGAAGGAGCCATTCTGAAGGTACCAGACTTTGTAGGATAATTGAACGCCACATTCTCGGTGCAGGCTGCTGGCTGGTTCTCCCTGGCCCCATGTGACTCAGGGCAAGCCCATACTCCTTTCTGTATCTTGAAGGAGCTGGACTAGATCTCAGCACTGATTTCTATCAAGGATCTTACACCTGGGTTCTCTCTGACCCCATCTTTTCTTCCTCAGGACACGGCAGGGCAAGAGCGGTACCGAACCATCACCACAGCCTACTACCGGGGTGCCATGGGCTTCATCCTCATGTATGACATCACCAACGAGGAGTCCTTCAATGCCGTGCAGGACTGGTGAGCGCATCTTCAGCTCCTCTTTTTTTTTTTAAGATTTTTTTTTTAAATTTACTTTTACACAGAGAGGAAGGGAGGGAGAAAGAGAGGGAGAGAAACATCAGTGTGTGGTTGCCTCTTGCACGCCCCCCACTGGGGCCCTGGCCTGCAACCCAGGCATGTGTCCTGACTGGGAATTGAACCAGCAACCCTTTGGTTCACAGGCCAGCACTCAATCCAGTGAGCGACACAAGCCAGGGCCCCTCTCTGTCTTAAGAGCTGGGTTTGGTGCAGAGCCTAGGGTGTAGGTGGATGAGGGAGCCCCAGCCCCTCAGCAGATATATAAGTAACAATATCAGGGTCCCAGACCTTCTGTCAGTCTATAATCATTAAAATATGGCACCATCGGCTCAAAATAATGGAAAAAAGTGTTTCAGGTGGAAAAATGAAACTAAACATATAGAAAAAAAAAATCAGGGTAGCAGGAAACGACAGAAAATAGAAGGATAGTTTGCACAAGTTAGAGGACATAACATGTATATTTCTGCCCAGAATAATGATAAATTTTAAGAAAATTTCTGATTTTGCTGAGGAAGGAGAATTGTCTCTGGGGGCAGGGATTGGGGAGGGTGGGAGAGGCTACTTGAAAGAGAGATTTTGAAGGTTAGGGAAGTGCCAAAGCAGATGCCCAGGTGCCCGGACACAGCGGTTTCTCTGGCAGGACAGAGGCTGGAGGAGAAACTGAGCCTGGAATGTTCAAGGAATAATGGGGAGCTGGGGGGCTGGACTGAGCTGAGGAGTGGAGCTCAGATCCTCCAAGCCCTAAACCACCCCATTGCCCCGAACTCCAGGTCAACCCAGATCAAGACCTACTCGTGGGATAACGCCCAGGTGCTGCTGGTGGGGAACAAGTGTGACATGGAGGATGAGCGGGTCGTGTCGTCGGAACGCGGGCGGCAGCTGGCTGACCACCTTGGTGAGTGCCCAGAGGAGCTGGACACCTACAGGCTAGAAGAGGGACACTGAGGCCCTGACAGGGGAGGGGACACACCCAAGGTCTTAGAGGAAAGCCAGGATGGGGCCTGGATTTGCATCCAGACAATGTACACTTTCTGCAGACTGGCCTTGACCAAGGAGCCATGTGAGGTGGATCTTGATAGGTTTGTAGTTCACTGTGCAGGAAGTTACTGATTCATTCGGACACCCTCACCACCCAGCCTCATACTGGCTGTTCCTGGGCTCTCAAGAGGCCTCCAGGAGCCTGGGTAGGGGAAGTCCAGGGGGAATGCCTCAGAGAAGACTTTACATGTGTGTGTGCGCGGGGTGGAGCATTGCATCTGGTGCTTGAAGAAAGGGTGGTCCTTCAGGTGGAGGGAACAGCTTGGGCAAAGGCCTGAGGTGGGAAAGATCCTATGCATTTTGGCAAACACACAGCTGCAACATGAGGGTCATTGGTGTGAAATAATGGCTCAATCATGCAGGGCCTGACCACGTGCTGAAGAGCTGGGACTCTTCTGAGGGCAATAGGGAGCCACAGAGAGAGTGTAAACAGGGGAGGGCATGGCTCGATTTGAGTATCAGATGTCACCAGAGACCATGTATAGGGCTGGGCTGGGTGGTGGGAGCAGGGGAGTGAGTCTTGCCAGGGCCCTGGGGACCATGAGAAGGGGACAGTTTTAGGGCCAAGAAAGGGGGACAGGAAATACAGGGCTGACCCAGTTCAACGTTACCGCCCCATCGGACTTGCCAGTGCCTTGACGGTTCGGTGGGCGCTGGGAGCCTCCAGGTATTTCTGGCCTCAGAGAAGTGTCTCTGGGACTGGGGGGCCCAGAGTCTTCACTCCTACCTTCCCTGACCACAGGGTTTGAGTTCTTTGAGGCAAGTGCCAAGGACAACATTAACGTCAAGCAGACCTTTGAGCGCCTGGTAGACGTCATCTGCGAGAAGATGTCCGAGTCACTGGACACAGCTGACCCTGCCGTCACAGGCGCCAAGCAGGGCCCACAGCTCACGGACCAGCAGGCGCCCCCACACCAGGACTGCGCCTGCTGAGGGCTGGCCCACCCACCCCTGCCCTGCCCCCCACCCCACCAGACCCCTCCTGGCCATGGGCACAAGACCCCTGCCCCGACTTCCTGACTGAGCCCTTCACCCTTATTTATTATTGTAGCTATTTATTTATTTATTGGAGATGTCCCCCGGGGGCTTGGCACCCCGCCCCCATGCCCCGCCCTGTACATACAGCCCTGTCTTTGCTCTGCCGTGGCTTGTCGTGGCCCTGCGAACTCACCCCTCACCCTCTTCTCCAGACCCCACCTTTTTAAAAACTCACCCCATCAATAGTTCTCAGTTTCGAAGAGGGGGCCAGGTGCACCTGAGGGCAGGGTGACCGGGGGATGGGAGGAAGCCAGGCCTGCCGGCCCCGTGGTGGGCCGGGGCCACGGTGGGGTCTCAGCAGGGACCACAGGGTGGGTGGCAGCCCTGCAACGGCCCGCCTGGCTCCTGGCCCCCACGTTCTACCTGTTTTTGGAGAGGGGGCTGCTGTGGTTACTCACCACCCTGAGAACACCTCCCCGCCCCACAGACCTGTCTGACGTCACGAGTGTCAAATGTGCCCCTAGGCGATGTCATGACAACACTACACACACCCAATAAAACAAATGGACGACGCTGTGTCTGTGAGTGCTGCCTGCCGGCGCTGGCTGCGGCCATCCATGAGATATTCTGTTACAGAGAGAATTTAATGAAGTGTCCACAGCCCACGACCAGAACGTGACCCTAGTGCTGCCTGGCCCTGCCTAAAGCTCCAGATCCCGGGGGGCCAGCTCCAGGCCAAGCCCCGCTCAGAGCAGACAGGCGATGTCCCCACCTTTCTTCCAGGGCTCAGAGCCCAACCCACGGTAGTGCTGAGGGCTGGGGCCTGGTGCTCAGGATGGGACATCCTGGCTACAGAGGCTCCCAGGGAGAAGGGATGACTGTATGTGTTCACGGTTGTGTTCCAGACGGGGAAACTAAGGCCTGGTAGTGGGCTTGGAAGGAGCAGCCCACCCAGATGCCTAGGAGTGAGGTTGGGACTGGGACTCGGCCCAGGACCTGGGCCTGCCATGGGCCCGGTCCCCGTGCTGCCCGGGTGTGCGGTCAGCTGGGAGTCAGTCCGCACAGCGCCACTCACGCTGGTGGCGCCAGGGGGCCTGGGATCTGTCCGCACAGGAGAGTCTGGTCACATTCCTCATTCGTCCCTTCAGGCTTCTCACCAAGCCCTCCGCCTGTCTGGGGTCAGCTTCGCCGAAAAGATGCCGCAGGGACCTGGCCGAGGTCCTATTAGACAGTTGAGAGGGGCTTGGTCTTCACCACGCTGGTGATCAGCTCCCCGTCCGCCTGCCCACCCAGGGATGTGGTGTGCCAAGGGCGCAGGAGGCTCTCCCTTGAGAGGAGCGGTACTGCCATTTGGGGCTCACATGTGTGGCCCCTGAGGAGTCTCCTGGGTGCCTGGTCTGCCTAATGCGCTCACCCGGTACTTCAGGTAGGAGAGGTACGTGTCCCAGCCCAGTGTCAGGCCATTGATATAGGTGACACGGAATTGAGGTGGCACAAAGAGGAAGTTCACCAGCTGTGCAGCAGGCCACACACACCAGTCAGTCTGTGGGGAAGGAAAGAGTACAGTGGTGGGGGGGTAGCCAGGAAGCTGTTGGGGGTGGGGTGGGATAGAAGTAAGGGGAAGGAGAACGAACAGGGCGGGGGGGGGCGGGGGGGGGCCTGGGAGGACATGCCCACCTTGTAGAATTCCCAGAACTTGTCCCGCAGCTCCTGGCAGCTCTCTTCCAGGGACTGGCCCTCTAGGCTGCCAAGACCTGGGAAGGAAATGAGAGGGTCAGAGGCTGGGGAATCCCCGTGATGGGGCCAGTGGGGCAGGACCACTGAGGGACAGTGTTCCAGGCAGAGGGACCTGACATTTAAAAGCATTTTTAAGTCATTGTTTAAAAACTGTTATTCTATTACAGTTGTCCCAATTTTTGCCCCTTTGCCCTCCTCCACCCATCCTATCCTGAGCTGTTTTACTACCTGTCTTTCAACAGATGAGGAAGCTAAGCCTGGAGGGTGGGGAACAGGTGAGAACTTTCTTCCCAGGGGCAAGGGCTGGGGTGACTGCCCTATCGAACCCCAGTCTCAGCTCCTCTTCCTTTGGCTGTTTCTCTGCCTGTGGGCTCCAAATCTCAGCTGAGTTCCTCTCCTGTGGCAACCCCTCCCAAGCCCCACCCCACCCCCAGCGGTCCCATTAGACACTGTCCTCATCTCTCCTACACTTAGCACCATGGTTTGTGATTCTACCATTCACACCTGTCCTCACTAGGTCTGTCCTGTCACCACTGTACCCTAGCTTCCAGTCCAGGACCACCCACACAGCAGGTGCATCAGAAATGTGCCTGGCATCCTTAACACAAGGCTGGCTCTGCTCCTCCTGACCTATGAGGGTTTGCAAAGTTCAGGCTCATGGGGCTCCTTACCCAAGAAGTACCAGACACCCAGCAGGGGAGAAGCCACCAGCTGGTCGATGAGGACCTTCCTGAGGATGTTTGGAAGCCCACGGAGGCCAGACGCAGGGAACAGGCGGTCCAGCCACAGATACCAGTAGTGTAGGAAGGGGCCCATGCTGCAGCCCACGGCAAACATGCTCGCTGAGGGCAATCAAGAGTCAGGGTGGCCATATCAGCCCACTCCCTCCCTGGGTAAGCCCAATGCCCTCTCGGGGCCCACCCAGATAGTCTTCCATTACCAGTCCCACTGCCCGGCACAATTCCAGGGGCTACATTTGCATCTTCTCACCTCATCCCTTTACCACCCTCTAGGAGGGGATTCCACCATAGCCCCTATTTCCAGAGGAGGAAACCGAAGCACAGAGGGTAGGGAACTTCGGGGCCAGGGCGCAATCCCAGGCTGTCGGGGTCCCGATGCCGCGCGCCCTTGACTATCCCGAGTGCAGCTTCCCAGGCTTAGTGCTCAATCCCTCAGTACAAGAGGGAGAGAAGCGGAAGAGGGGGTGGGCGGAAACGAGACCCCAAGGGTGGGAAAGGACAGAAATCCCAGTTATGGAAGGGGACGGCGACCCGCGGTGGGAAGGAACGGAGAACCCCGAGTGGGAGGGGATACCCGGGCAGGGGCTGTCAGGTTATAGAGTGCACGTAGGGATCAAGCAGGGCTCAGGCCACGGATTAGGGGTTACAGTCCGCGGGTCTGGTCCAGGGGTTTCCATATCTGAGGTGGGAGTCAAAGCTTCCCCGGGGTCAAGGGTGGGCAGCGCCGGCCTCCTCACCTGAGCGCCGTGGGTCGAATTTCTGGCCGGGCCGGGCGCGGATCTCCCAGGACTGGCGTGCGCCGTCCCCAGCCGCCATGAGAACGCCGCAACCCAGAGTGTTGGTAACGAGCAGCGCGCGGCCTTGGAACATAGGCTGCCCCGCTGCCCATAGGCCGCGCAGCCAGCGCCAGCCACCTGATGCCATCGCCCGTGGGGACCAGGAAAGAGAGCGCCGGACCATCTGCCGGTGCCAACCAATCACGCGTCCCGGCCGCGTCTGGGCCGCCCGAGCGCTGGCGAAGAGCTGACAGCTCTATGCTCCACTTTGCCCGCCCCGAGAGATATTAGCCAATAAAAGACCGGCATCCCATCCATTGGCCAATCAATGAACGAAGTCAAGCATAGCCGTATGGACCAATCACAAGCAAGCATCGACCCTATCACGCGAGCCAGTTGCTAAAGTCTCACTCTCGTTTCCTCCTCCCTTTCAGCACCCGCCTATGGGTAGCAGTCGCTGCGCTCTTTCTTACTAGTTTAGTACTGCACTGGCCAATCTCAGTCCACCGTTACACCTGTCGTCCCGCCTCTCGCGTTAAAACGGCCAATCTTAGACAGTTACCATGCGCTCTACCCTAGTAGCGGTCCAGATTCCCAGATTCTCGCAGCATTCCTGAGAGGGAATCAGACCTTTGGCTGTGTCAGCTAGAGGGGCGGAAGTACTGTATAATCGCACAAAGACTCAAGGTATTGAGGACGCAGCCCAGTGGGAAGTCAGGTCCAGAAATGGACCTTGATCTTGACTTAGCTGAGCATTTGACCTTAGATCCAGAATAATAAATAAAAGTGTTAGGCACTGTTCCGAGCACATCACGTGCATTAACTCATTTCGCAGCAACCCTGCTGCTGCACAAATAATTATATACCCATATTACTTCCTTTGTTCCAGTAAGGGAAAATGAGACTTTCAGTGGAAACCTATGCATTTCCTACAGGAATGGCGTGTCACAAACGCAAACTGCAGCCCCTGGGCCAGATCCTGTCAGTGCCTCTTTTTGTGAGGTCCACGAACTAAGAATATTTCTTGCATTTTTGCATCGTTCAGGAAATTCAAAATAATATTCTGGGTAATGTGAAAATTATATGAAATTCAAACTTATGTGTCCTTAACATACAGCTTTATTGGAACACAGGCATACCCATTTGTTTCTGTGTTGTTTCCTCTCACTACAATGAGTTGCAACAAAGACTACGGCCTGTAAAAAACTAAACAATTTATTCTATGGCATTTTACAAAAGAAAAAAGAAAAGAAAAACAAGAGCCCTATGTTAATAGGTCACTCTTCAGGATTATATGGGAACTTTTTATAAACTTGGTAGTTATAATTGGTAATGCAAAAAATAATTTTTTGTCTATTGACATGCAAATGAATTCTGTCAGGTGGAGAAACAGTCTCCCCTAGTTATTTTTACCTTACTTTGCACATTTTAGTATTCCCGATTTGTCTGTTCTTTGGATCTCCTTTAAAATGGTGTTAACACCCGACTAGTTCTCCTCATTAATAAGGAGTTAACAATAATTTTTTAACATGTGCTCATTTTTACGTCTGTATAAGAGCCATTGTACCTTTTTTGCGGGAAAATTATCCTTCAGCACTTTCTATTGCTCTCAGGTACCTCAGCCCAGTATTCTAGACTTTAGATTTTACTGCATCTTGGTGAAAATCCTCCAACATGGTTAAAAAAACTTTATCAACAACCACATTCAAGAAAACAAGTTTCACTTTTGAGAGCTGATGTTATAAAATCCTCTTAGGAACACTTGTTCATACCTGGATAGGAGAGTCTGTCTTACAGGACAATCCTGGCCCACCAAAATCCTTGTAATGTTTTGGAGATGCCAAGAAGCAGATACGGCAGGTAAAACCTGGTAGACTTTCTCACCTTTAGTTAGCCAATGATAGAGGCCCTTCAAAGTCCAACCTGAGATTTTTTAATGGAAGCTCCCAGCAAAGCAAACTGAACGCCTGCTGCACCTGTGTAAATTTCAGGGCCAATCTAATTAGACCCGCCAAAGAAGTTCTTTCTTTGAGAACAAAAGGGACAACACAAATATTATTTGACCATAAAAAAAAAAAAAAAAGAAGGAAATCCTGCTATTTGTGACAACGTGGAGGAACCTGGAAGACATTATGCTGAGTGAAATAAGTCAGTCAGAAAAGGACAAATATTGTGTGGTTTTACTTATTTGTGGAATCTAAAAAAGTGAAACTCAAAAAACAGAAAAATAGCAATTGTCACAGGCAGAGGCGGTGGGGGAAATGGAGGGATGTTGTCACAGCATCTAGAAAGGTTTATTAAACTTGTTTTAATGTAGCACCATTCTCAGTAGGGCAAGATTCTTGACCTTTGGGCAAAATGTTGAGTCTGAACTTCATGGAATGTGTAAGTAATCTAGATCATGAGCCATAGCTGCTGAGTCGGGGATCAAAAAATGGGAGCAGGTGGGAGCTCATTCTTCCTCCATCAGTTCCCTCTAAGGACAACAGCCATCACTTGAGGCAGACGTCCCTGGGGGAGCTGGCCGTGAATGAGCAGATATCTGGCTTCTGACCCTGGAGGAGACAGTCGTGAGTTGGGGGCCCAAAAGGAGACCCTAACCCGACTTGCCAAATCCCTCTGCTGCCTCTCTGACTTACCTGGTACAACTGGCACACAAGGGGTAGGAGCTGGCTCTTATCGCCCAAAGGTTTCTGCACAAAGCAAGACAGTAGGTCACAAGTGCCACCTGCCCTTATCAACCCATGCCAAGCCCTGAAGGGGCTGAAAGTGGGCCTAAGTCTGGCCCCTGCTCCCACCTCCCAGACTGGTAGGCGCATCCATCACCTTGATCCCTGCCTGGGGGGCCGACCTGAGGGCAAGAAGCGTGTCTTACCCCATTGACGACGACCCAAGGCACATATTCGTGGGGTGGCTGCAAAGCATCTGTAAGTTGGGCATTCATGTGCAAGAGCTGTGTGCCCCGGTCTCCCATTGCGCACTCCATGATGGTGTCTGGGGTCACATTTGGGGCATAGATCTGCAGGCACTGAGGAGAGAGGAGGGCCAGTGAGCCTCAGCTTTCTCCCTGTTATCTCCCCAACAATTTCCCTACTGGCCCCCCAAGTCAAGTTCCTGTTTCCTCAGTGGCAACAGGGGAGAGTGGGCCTCTGGGCAAGCAATGTAGCAATGCTTGCAAACAGCAGCTGCTTCATGCATACCTGAGTGGAGGCTCCCAAGGACGGGGCTCAGACTGCTGCCAATCCCCTATGACCAGACCCGCAGCTCCTGACCCCTACATTTTCCTCGGACCTTCCATCTGTGCTGTTCCCTCCACTGGGAGCACTCATCCTCCAGCTTCCTCAACATCTCCTGAGGGCTCCCTCCTCCTCTGTACTCTGCCAGCCCCACTATGGTTCTGCAGGGCTGCGGTGTCTTAGGGTGAGGCTTCCTGGGTGGTGTGAATGTTTGATGAATGAATAAATGATCAGGGAAGATGAGTCATTCCTTTGGGAGTTATTTTTCATACTCCTCCAGGGAGGTGGGCAGGCCTGTCCTGTCATTGCCATGCCCCAGGGGATGATCACCACCCGCGTCCCCACGCATTCCTGTTCATCAGAGCCCAGCTCAGAGGCTCCTTGAGAAAACACTCTCCGATCTCCCCATCACCCCAGAAGATCTTCCTTTCCTTGATCCAGAGATGGAGGCTTAGAGAGGGAACAGTATTTCCCTGGGGCTATTCAGAGAGTCGTGGTTGGGACCAGGACTTGAACCTATGTCTGAGTACAGGGAGGGTCAGGGTCCCCCAACACAGGCCAAGTAGTGTCACTCACTGGCTTTAGGTTGTTCTCCATTTCGTCCGTTTCCTCTAAGCAGACAATGGTTAGCATGGCCGCGTCACTCTCCAGCTGGTCCAACAGGCAGGCCTGAGGGTGGGAGGTGGGCAGGTCAAAGGTATGAGGGGGGGCACAGAGCACCCTCTCTGGTAATAATCATGGGTATCCACTAATGAAGTGATGAATGGAGGAACAGGGGCCCTGGCTGGTGTGGCTCAGTGGATTGAGCTCCGGACTGTGAACCAAAGGGTTGCTAGTTTGAGTCCCAGTGTAGGGCACATGCCTGAGTTTCAGGCCAGTGCTCCAGTAGGGGGCACTAGTGATGTTTCTTTCCCTCTCTTTTTCCCTCCCTTCCCCTCTCTAAAATAAATAAATAAAAAGTTAAAAAAAGAGGCATATAGTCAGGGGAGAGAGCTCGTTCCAATCCCCTCTGAGTCTGGATTTCATCTGCATTACCACCCTCAGCCTCCTGGGCCTCTGTGCCCCGCATGTGGGACTCGGGGGTGCTGCTCACCTCCACCTTGTTCAGCTTGCACTCCTCCTCCCCGTGCTGGCACGTGAACTCCCACCTGCCGCTGATATTCTGCTCCTGCAAGGCAGTGGGGTGAATGCCGGCTGGCCGGCCAGGTGCCACCCAACCCTGGCCACGTGCCTCAGTTTCCCCAGCGCCCACGTACCCTGGCGTTCCCATAGGGCACCAGTGTGACATTGAGGATCTCCAGAACCATCAGCCACGTGGGGAACAGCTCTCGGATCAGGAAGTACCGGCAGCCAGGGCACAGTGCCTCGTAGTACAGGCTCACGTTGACAGGTGGTGCACCAGACTTCTCAAGGGGCACCTGTGGGCACAGGGCACCAACCTGTGCGGGAGGAAGGGATGTGAAGCGAGTGGAGCCCTGCTTAGTTCTCTTGCAGAAAGGGAGATGCAAACAGCGAGTGCTCCCTCCTGAACGCACTCCTGACTCTAAGGCTTTACTGTATCCTTGCATCTGTTAGGCTGCGAAATGGACACAACAGACTTGCACACAGCAGGCGCTTGCACGGCTCTTACTTTCTGCCCGGTGAAGTGAAACCTCTGGCACAGGGGAGCGTTTGCAGTAACGATGCAAGGCAAACACACTTCAGGTCCCTGACCTCAATCCTGCCTTCCTGGAGGTGCATGCCACAGGAGACTAATGGATGATCACATGTTGCCACTTCATGCCCAGAGCCTTGGTCCTACACCTGCTCTGATGCCTCTTCCTCCCAAGGGACCCACGCGAACCCCTCCCAAGTCCACTGCGGAGGTGGTATCTAATAAGTACTGACTTCCGGCTTTAGCTAAAGGGCGGCAGGGGCCCAGGTTTGTGAGCAAGTCGCTCAGCCTCCGGGGCATGTGTTTGCTGAGCACCAAAAACACTCAGAGCTCTTCCCTGGCCATAGTGCATCCAGTAGGTAGCACCTCATGGGTGCGGGTGCCATAGGCAGGCCTCCCTGGGCTTCCCCTGTCTTCCAAGGGAAGACCCCGATTCCCACCCGAGACGTACACAGTAGGTGCTCATGCACCCTTGAGCAGGGCAGGCGGGGATGGGGTGGGGACAGCAGAGCGTCCTCAGCCTGAGGTGGGAAAGCGAAAGGACTCCAAGAGCGTGGCCACAGTGCCAGGGATTAAATAGGGGGGTTTCCACACTGACGGGGCATGTTCCCCCCAGACTCCAGGCTGCCACGGCCAGGTCTGGGGGAGGAAACGAGCCGCCCTCCCAGCCTGGGCGCCGGTCCCCGCCGGCCCACCCCCAGCTTCGCCGGTCCTACCTTGCAGGGGGCCGCCCCTTCGGGGAGTGTGTCCAGCGGGGACGCGTGCGCCGCCGCGGGGACTTGGAGCAGCAGCAGCAGCACCGGCAGCACCGGCAGGAACGGCAGGAGTGGCGACCCGGCCATCACGGCGTGGGCACAGGCGCGGGCACAGGCGCGGGCACAGGCGCGGCGGCGGGAGAAGCACCCCAGGGAAGGGGCGGCCTTTAACCCGGGCGGTGGCCCTGCCCCTAAGCCGGACCCGCCTCCTGGGGCCCACGCCTCCCGGGCCGGCCTGCCGCGTCTCGACGTCTGCACTTCTCTCTGTGGGTGTCCCTTTCCATCCTCGCCCCGCCCCCGTCAGCGACCCTCCCCTGCCAGGTGCTGGGCCAGCAATCGAGGTCATCTGGCCTCTCTTTGCCACTTCCGACATCGCCACTCCCTCCCCGCGATCAGCCCAGACCAGGCATGTGAAGCTGGGGTCGGAGCTCCTAGAGCGGATTTGGGGTGGGGGCTTCAGAGACAGAGACACAGAGAGACAGAAAGAGACAGTAGGGTCTTCTCACGCCACAGACCTGTCTGGGGCAGCCAAGGGGGTCCAGCCCCTGCCCTTAGCAGGGGGACCCTGCGCGCTGATGAAGCAGGGGCAGGTGCTGGCTGCGCAGCCCTCTTTCCTACCTAACCTGGCCGGGGGGCCCCAGCACTCCCAACCCACCAGCCCTGCCTCTCTCCCCACTTCCTGTCCGGCTCCCCAGCCCACTTGCTGAGTCCCGTGGGGTTGACTCAGACTTGGCCACAGCTGGGCCAGAAAGCAGAAGCCAGAGCGGGAGGGACGCTCACTTCTCTTGGCCACCCATCCCTGGTTCCTGGGTGGGGAGGGGAGGGCCCGAGCTCCTTCTTCCCACTGTCAGAGGGTGGGGGTGGGGGGTGCCCGGCCCCCCATCAAGCTCCCTGGAGAGAGATGAGCAGGGGCTGGAGCAGTAATTACCGGAAGCCTCAACTGTGTCCACGGGGTGGGGGCGGGGGGGTGGTGGCCATGTGGGACCCAAACCCACAGAATCAGCTGGACGGTTAGCACCAGGATGGTGCTGGGCACCTCAAGTGGTGAAGCCTGTTTCCTGGTCTATAAAATGGAGAAGAGGGAGGTTCAGGGAATAAAGCCATCAAGGAGGCTCAGGGGCAGGGGGAGAGTTAACCCAGACCGGGGGTGTGAATGAGGCCACTGGGCTGTAACCCTGGTACGGGGTGACACAGGAAGCTGGAGGTCCTGGGGGAGTGACCAAGAGAGGCACAATTTGCAGGGCCTCAAGGTCAGTTGTGACAAAGAATGAGATCTCACAGGAGGAAATGCCCACACCTGGCCTGGAATACAGCCAAGTCCTCGCTTTCCCTGAAGTCCCCAAGGCTGGATGATCCCCCCATACCATCCCTGTGGACGCTTATCAAAACCCATTTCCCTCCTGAAGCCTCTGCAAAACGAAGCAACACAGCTTTGGGAACCAGCTGGACCTGTCCCCGTGCTGGGCAGGATGGAAGGAGTAATGGTAAATATGATCGCCGCAGTTCCGGATGGACTCTTACACGTGACCCCACCCATCTGATGATGGGGCCCTCACAGGTATCCCGTTGGGGGGTCCAGGTAGCAACTCGTGACTCCACTTGGTAAGAGGAAACAGGATCAGAGAGGGGAGGCAACTTTCCCAAGGAAACCCAGCAGGCGGAGGAGTGCACGCACTGGCTAGAGGGCCCCGGGCCGTTATCTGCCCCACCTTCCACTCCAGGCTCCCTCCGCTGGCTGGGGGCAGGGGACTGAGGTGCCCTTTATCCTATGAGCACCCATGCAGTGGGTGAGGACCACAGGGGAGACGGTGTCTGGGCTGCAGTTATAGGGTAGGTGCCTCCTGATTGGGCGCAGAGTAGGGACAGTGCCTGGGAAGGCTTGGGGGCTCTGGGGTCAGGCACTTCCTGTCCCTTGGAGAGCTCAGCGGGAAACCGGGTACCTGAGCTGACCTAGGTGCGTTGGATGCTGTATGGGGAGGGGAGGGCAGAAGCCTCCCAGACCTGGGAGTGGGGAGGGACAAGGGACAGGGGCCTTGGGGATGGGGGATGTTAAATGGGAGTCCAAGTTAAAGACACTAAGGATCCAGCTCAGTGTCCCTGGGGCCTCAATGCCAGCAGCAGGCATTGCCCCTGGCGTGGGGCAAAGGTCTGGGTTTGAACCTCTCTGCTGTGTGATCTTGGTCAGGTCTCTCAACTTCTATGTCCATAAGCAGCTAGATTGCGGGGGGAGGCAGAGTTTTGTCAGTCCTCGTTGGCAGCCTGAGTTAAACTCGAGCTCATCTCTGTGTGACCCTGTGAATCTCAGGGCCCCCAGCACACAATGGCCACGGAGAAGCCCCGCCAACAACAGGAGCATCCACTGAGTTCAGTGTTTTATATCCACATCAGTATCAACGTACCATACAAAACCTGTCTGCCAGCCTAGCTGGGCAGGCAGGAGGGGGTCCACGGCAGCATAGAAAACCGGGGCTCTCGTCCCAAAGTAGGAGAGAAAGTGGGCTTTACAGTCAAGGAAACATAAAATCAGAACCCAACATGATCAAGGAGAAGTCTTGAAACTGCACCGAGCAGAGGTGCTACGGGCAGCGGTGCGTCTCGGCACCCCAGCGGCACCTGCAGCGGCCTCAGTTCCTGTGAGGCCCGGGCTCGGGTAGGGCCAGCTCGCGAGGTTATTTTTAATAATTTTGTTTTGTGGGGTTAACTGGTAGCAGGTTTCACTTCAAGGTTTAGAGGGGAAGTTGGGTCTGTGGGGCGGGACCTGCCCGGCCCCAAATGTCACAGCCGAGGTTCTTGGAAGTGGCCCAGCAAAGTTCTTCCCTGCCCTGACCCCAGGTCTATGGCTTAAAAGTCAGGGAACCCAGGCTGGGGCTGAGCACCCCAGGGGCCTTTGTAAACATGGCAGGTACAGGTAGGGGGGCTTGGGGGACCCCAGGGACCTGCGGGGGCAGCCAGAGCCATAGGGAGGGCAGTGCCCGTGGGGACAGGGGGTATGGGGTGGAGGAAGTGAATTCCCCTAACACAGAGACTTAGAGGTACCTAGACAAAGAGAAACAGAGAGAACAGGGAGATGGGGATAGAAAGAGACAAAGTGACAGGGAGAGACAGAGAGAAAATAAGAGACAGAGACAGGCGAACAAAGAAGAGAGGTGATGGAGAGAGACAGAGCTGTAAGGAGATGGAGAGAAAAAGAGATTGAGACAGGGGAAGATTCACAAAGAAGACAGAGAGACAGACAGAATCTGAAAAAGACAGAGACAGACAGACAGACGGAGCCCCGGGCCACAGCTGCCGGGCCCAGGCAGCTCAGCTCTGCCCCGTCAGCGGGCTGGGGGCGGGGGCCCAGGGCCCGGCGCTCGCACGGGGTGGGCCAGCGTGACGGTGAGCGCGTCGTTGTGCTGCACTAGGGAGGTGTGCTGGTAATGCAGCACCAGCTCCTTCAGGGATCCATACAGGTTGTAGGGCTCCGCAAAGCCCAAGCCGGTGGCCGTGCGGTAGATGACACAGTGCTTGGTGTCGCCGTCCACCCTGTGGTGTGGGCAAACGGGTGGTCAAACGGGAGGCACCCCACGGGCTCGCCCAGCCACTTCCCCAATTCCCAGACCCTGTCCTGGCCCAGAAGCCACTATCTCTGGCCTGCGCACTGTCCCAGCTTCCTCCCCGATCCCCGGTAACCCTCTTCCCGTGTCAGCCATGGGGGTCTTCTTCCCAGCTGTCTTCCCAAGGCTTAGCACACAGCAGATGCTCAATAAACGCTCTCGAAAGGAACATGTGACTCCGCCTCCCCCAACAGGCACTCACACCACAGAGCAGGCATAGCAGCCCCGCTGGCTGCTCTCACGGATGAGGAAGGTTCCATCCCGCTTGCCACTCAGCATTTCCTCAGCCTGCGTGCGGTTGATCTTGCCCACGTACCACGTGCGCTCCTCGTGGTGGGGGAGGTCATCCTCATCCTCCATCAGGGAATACTGGCTGTGGAGGGGGCAGGGAGGGACCCCAGTTACTTACCCACCAGGCTCTGAGGCACCCTTGCTGCCTGGACAATGCTCCATTCCTGGTGCACTCCTACCCATTCTGCAAAACCCAACGAAAATGGCCCATCTTCTGGGAAGTCCTCCCCAGCCCCTTTCACGTGGTCACTCACTCCTCAGTCTCGTTTTTGATTCCCAACCACTCGTTGATTTTCTTCTGTCGGGCGCCCTTCTGGGTGAGCCACCTGGGAGGAAGAAGGGAGGCAGTTCAGGCAGCAGAGGCAGGGCCAGCCCACAGGGGTCCAGTCCAGCCTGGCTAGAGGTGAGGGTTGACCAATGAGCGTGGGTCTGGGTGCAATAGTGCCAGCTGCCACAGGGGCCAGCCTTGACTTGGCCAAGGGCAGCTTGAAGGAGGGAGAGCCTGGCTGGCGCTGCCAGGAAACGCCCTATTTATTGTTTCTGTTAACACTTATGGGGCCTCCAGAACGCTCCATGCCGCAGGGTCTTATTGCCCCCAGAGGCTTAGTCTTTGGGGCTGCACACAGTGCTGTGGGCCTTTGCACGGGGCAGTTATCTGTGTATTTTACTTTTCCTAGCTGGAAAGGGGGAGATTTTTTAAAAACATTTATTGATTTTAGAGAGGAAACGGGGGGCGGGGTAGGGAGAGACAGAGAAACAGAGAGAGAGACACAGATTTGTTGTCCCACTTATTTATGCATTCATTGGTTAGTTCTTGTATGTGCCCTGACTGGGGATCAAACCTGCAACCATGGCATTTCAGGACGATGCTCTAACCAGCTAAGCTACCCGTCCAGAGCTGGAAAGGGAAGACTTTACAAAGCACTTGGAGAGGATAAAATATGCGCATGGTTGCTCAGCACAGCACCTGGCATACAGCAGGTGCACACAAGCATCTCAAGTCCAGGTGGGGAAAGAGCCCTTGCCAAGATCCTCACAGTGGGGCCATAGGCAAGTGCAGGGCACTCACACGAGGTACTGGTCTCGGATCTTGCGCAGCTGCATGAGGTCTGGCTTCAGGCTGTTCATGCGCTTATCAATCTCCCGGTTGTCCAAGGCCTGTGTCCGTAGCTCCTGTTCCAGCTTTGTGCGGCTCTCATGGATCTCAGCAATGCGAGACTTCAGCCGCTCTGAGTTCAGCAGGATCCTGGGGGAGGAGTTGGATAGGTCCCAGGCTCAAGCCTTTGCACATGCTGTTTCCAATTCCTCCTCCGGTGAACTCCTATTCAGCCTTCAAAGCCCACTTCAACTGACCCTCCCTTCCCTTGAACCCCAGCTGCCCCTTCTTTTCCCTTTCTTTTACCATTTGCACTGGACTTATAGGGCAAAGGAGCTGGACTCACCTCTGCATCTCTTTCTCGTTGCCCTCGCGTCGGAAGCGCTCCAGATATTCCTTGCTGCATTTCTCTTGAGTCTGACCCTGCTCTTCGAAGATCTTGATGGTTTCATTGAAGGCCTCTATTGCAGTGCGCTTCATTTGCAGTTCCTGGAGGATGGAGTGAATCTTAGCATCTCCTAGGAGTCCTCGCAAGTTCTTCATGAGGGTGATGGCAGATATCAACTCCGATATAGAGATTTTGCCCAAGCTGTTCCATCTATCGGGCATGTCATCCCTCTGGCTCCTACTGCACCAAACAAACTCCTATTCAACCTTCAACCCCCCCACTTGCCAAACCCATTCCTCCTTTATAACTTCCTTTGGGCACCTTACAAACACCTGGGCTTGTTAGCATTGCTGAGAATTCATGATAAATCTAGTTGCTACAGTCTGCAGGGCTCCTTCTCAGAGTAGATGCTATACCAAGCGCTTGCTGTGCACCATCTCGCAGAACCTGCCAACAGCCTAGAAAGTCAGGACTATTAATAGGAAAACTAAGGCTCAGGGGGCCTAAGTCATGTCCAAGGTCACAATGTGCCTAACAGACTCCAGGCAGGCATCTTGTCCACTTGGAGCCTCGACTGACCCAACAGTAAAAAGAGGGCAAGGAAGAAATTCCTCAGGGACCACAGGGGAGGCTAAGCCGTTGCCAGCCTGAGACAGACATTCGATCAGAGCAAGCTGCATCTCAGCTTGCTGAAGGAGTTTATCAACACAGCCCCAGCGTGAAGAAACTACCCCTTCCCCTTTTAGAAGATGCTCTTTAACGTGACCTCCTAACCGTCTTGCCCCATATCAGATTATTGTCATCGCTGTGAATAACCTTGAGGTTGCAGGGGCTGGAGAAGAAATTAAGACACACAGTTCCAGTTTATAGATGGGAAACTGAGGTCCTGAGAGATGCACAGGCTTAATTGAGAACTTCCCAGGTCCTAGCCCAGCTGCTCCTGAGAGGCTGGTTGGTATTGTCTCATTTGTTCTTTTTCTTTCTTTCTTTTTTTAGCCATGTACATTTATTTCTATGCCTTTAGGGCAGTCCCCAATGCTAAGTGACTGCTCTGTGACCTGCAAATAGCCGTCTGTCCACATGGCCTCACCACTGGCCTTCACACCTCGGTCTCCTCACGTGCACAGGCCCGTGGTACCTGGGAGGTGCGTGTGTACTCCTCGTAGAGCTGGTCGTACTCGCGGCTCTTGTCCTGGTACTGCTGGTGGTACACTTTGAGCTGGGCGCCCACTGCTTCCACGCTGTCTTCTTTGACGATCTGATCCTGAGGGTACCCGGTGTAATCAGCGAAATCACCTGGGAAACTGAGGCCCGGGGCCACCCTCTCTAGCTCCCGCCCAGGTCCCGGACCTGCTGGTACTTGGACACGGGGTACAGGAGCCGTGTGTCTAGTTTGGCGTTGTACTGGGCCAGCGACTCGTGGCGGTAATGGGTGATGAGGTCCACAACGGAGCAGAAGGTAAGTGGCTCTGAGAAGCCATAGTGCCCGTCACGGTGGAAGACCTTAATTAGCTTGTTGTTCCCGCCTTTCCTAGGGGTGGATAAGAGGGGGTGTCAGTGCCCACTGGGACCCCCAGCCTGACTCCCAGGTTTCCGGCCCCGACACTGCACATGTCCTCCTCCCGCCGCTCACCCCGGCCTTCCCAAGAGAAACAGGCCCCCACCTGAGGGTCAGTGTATACTCTCCCTGAATCTTGCTGGAGGCATCTCGGACAAGGAAGGTACCGTCAGGTGTGTCCCGGAGTTTCTCATTCACCTCCTCCCTGTGGGGACATCCAGGATTGGGGTCACCCTCTGGAGACTCTGTCCTTCAGGCCCTTCCCACCACCAGCACTACCCTATAACCCTACCTGGAGATGTCACCCCAGTACCACTCAGCGTCCTGCAGGGAGGGTGGTGGGGCTCCTCCATTGGCCAGCCCCGCAGGGGCCGGCTTTACCTTAGGTGGTTTAGGCGGCAAAGCTGGCGGACAGGAAAACAAACACAATGAGCACCAGCTCTATACTGCGGTCCACTCCTGCAGCGGGGCCTGGAGTCAGCACTCACGGCCCTCCCACAGTGCAAATGGCGCAAAGGGGGTCACCTGGGGGTGCGACCTCCTGCTCCTCCAGGTGCTCCTGAAGCAACTTCTCCACCAGCAGTGCTGGGAAGTCGGGGCCGGGCTCGGTCCTGGGGGAGGGGGAGTTCAGTGAGCGCTGGGCAGGGGGTCCTGAACGTGCTTGCACACCTTGGGGGGTACAAATGAAAGCTGGGAAGCAGGGCAGGTGATACAGGCAGGTGTGGGAAGCTAACTGCTGCTCACGTGTGTGCAGCCAGTGCTCAATACAGAGTTCAGCACCTACAGTAGGGGGAGCAGAAGGGAAGGTACAGGCACCACACACGTGCCTTTTCTCTGGTCAAGGTCCCAAGCCCTCTGGGGCGGGATCTTCCTGAAGCTCAGGTTCGGCCCTTATTAGCCTTCCTCCCACTCCCATCACAACAGCTGTGGCCTGCAAACCCGCCCGGCACCACGCCCCGCCCCGCAGGCTCCGGCTGCTCACCCGACGGGTGCGACCCCTGGCGGAGGCAGCGAAGGAGGCGGTGCACGCAGCAGCAGCGGCCCAAAGGCGACACCCAGGGCTCGCACAGCGGGACCTGGGGCAGGGGCGCGCCGGGCCACCCGGCCCAGGTGCTGGAGCAGGAAGCGCAGGGTGAGCGCGCGGTGCAGTGGCAGCGTCGGGGGCTCCAGCACTGGTCCCACGGGCCCCGCGGCCTCTGCGGGCAGATCGCCGAGCCGGGTGAGCCTGGCTCACCTGCCCGGGCTCCTCCCCGCCAAGGGTTCTCCACCAGGCTCACCTCGCAGGGCACGGCAGGCCTCGGCAGCGGCCTCCAGCGTCACGAGGGGTGCAGGCAGAGCCAGCAGGAAACCCTTGATGCCGTCAGCCAGGGCTGCCGAGTCCCACTGCTCTACGTCACTCAGGGACCAATCTGCGGGGGCAGGGGTGCCGTGTTGGTGGGGCTGTTGGGGTCCACTCCCCGCCCCCGGCCCTGTTGAAGCTCCCCCTCACCTGTGCACGGGGCTGGCAGCTCAGGCCTGTAGAGGGATTCGCTGTCTAGCCCTGGGGGGTGGGGGAGAGGAGGGGAGAGGGGCCGGACAGCTGTCAAATGCTGCCCGGACCCCACATGGGGGCTGGGGTGGCTATTCAACCTCCCAGAGATAAGAGCAGGGGGAGGGAGGGAGATGGCTGCAGAGCACACAGCACATGCAGCGGCAGGTCTGGTGTCCACAGTCCCATTTGCCCCTGGGAATCAGTCCTTCCCCAATTCAACACGGAGGCCCAGAGCATCAAGGCTCAGCCTTCTCATGCAGAGTGGATGAGTTGCCCATCACCAGAGGTAAGCAAGGACAGTCCAGGAGTTGCAGCCAGGCTGAGGCTCACCTGTCCGCTCAATGGCCTCCACAAGCTTCACCAGGAGCGGCGGAGCCACATCAGGTGGGGAGAACTGCTCAGGCAGGTCAGGGAGAGTGAGGCCTGGCAGGAAGGGACAGTGTGTTGGCGGGGTCCCTGGAAGGACCCTAGCCCCTTTCTTGGCCTGCTCTTTCTCAGCTGGGGTAGCTGCAGGCAGGGCCCAGCTCAGGCAAGAGCCTGGCATCTGGACCACCACCCTGGGGAAGTCAGAGGCCTGTGGTTGGGGGTGATGGGAGAGCCAAGCTAGGGGGAAACAATTTTCTGGGTCAAGATATCAGTCGCACAACCTCAGAGACCACATGTAGGTTGATTAGCGTCCTCCCAAAATGATGCACACATCCTAACCCCCAGTACCTGTTAACTGTAACCTTGTTTGGAAACAGAGTTTTTGCAGATTTTGAGATGAGATCATCTTGGGTTTAGGGCCCTAAATGCGATGACTGGGGTCTATAAGAAAAGAAGCCATGTGACAACAGAGGCAGACACTGGGGCAATGCAGCCCCAGGCCAAGGGTGCCTGGAGCCACCAAAGCCTGGAAAAGGTAGAAAAGATCCTCCCCTAGACACTCCGGAAGGCACATGGCCCTACTGACACTTGATCTTGGACTTGATCTTGGTCCTCCAGACTGTGAGAAAAATACATGCCCGCGGTTTGAAGCCACCTGGTTTGTAGGAGTTCGTTACAGCAGCCCCAGGAAACTCAAACAGCAGGTTTCAGCCCCTGCCACTGCTCGCTGTGCAACCTCGGGCACCGTGCCCGCCTTCTGTGCGCCTCAGTTTCCTCAGTTGAGGAATTGGCGTCACCTCTTCCTTCTTAGTGGGAACAACACAGTAATTGAGAAAGAATAAAAAGAAAATATCCATGTCTAGGTCAGAACACCTCACTCTGAAGACATTCCTCTACTATCTCAGTCATTTTGCCTTGAAAAAGGTATCTCCCCCATGTTAAAATGCTGAAACCACTCCCAGCGGGTGCCGGAGACCCCGCGGCCCAGCCCCTTCAGGCTCTGTGCCTTTGTGTTCAGCAGCTCTGTCTGTATCGACACCATTTGATGCAGTCCTGGCCCTCGGCGGGACGCCCTGGCAAACAACAGGGGCAAGCTGGGGCCTGCGGGGCCTCGCTGAGTGATGGGCCAGGTGGCGCCTCAAGCTGGAGAAAGGCCCAGCTACCGAAAAGGCCAAAAAGAAAAAAAAGAAAAAAAAAAGTAAGAGAACAAGGGGAGAGGAGGTGGGAGAAGCCCCAGCTGGTGGGGCTGCCACGGTTCTGAAACTTGACTCTGAAACTCATCTGTGACCAGTTTGTGAAATAGGAAGGGAGGTTCCGTAGAGCAGGCATCGCCCCATGTTATGGACGAGGACCTGTGGCTCAGAGAGGGAACAACCTCACCGTGGGTGCACAGCCCGGGTGACCCTGGGGTGCTGCACTCAGCACCTTGCATGGGGTGGGACGGAAAAACACAGGGAGCCGTGGCATGCTCCCCGTTGGTCCCGGGATCCTGGGGAGGCAGGGCCCAAAGGCATGAAGGGACCAATCCTCCCTGTTTCCAGAAGAGGAAACTGAGGTCTGGAGAGGCCTTCCTCCCCACCCCCGGTGTCACCCAGGCCTGGAAGATTTGGAGGGCGGAGCTGCTGCCCCGAGTGGGGATGTGTGTGTGGAGGCTGGACCTGGGCCAGGCAGAGGAGGGAGGCGGCTGTTACCAGGGGGAGAGGCAGATTCTGGCTGGGAGCCCGGATGGGGCCGCCTCCTGCCTCTCCAGACCGAGGCAGGATGCAGGCCCAGGCCCTGGAGACGCCAGATGCTGCAAATCCCAAGCTAGCTCCACACCGCCTCGGCGCCCCACTCCACCCCATGGCGTGGGACAGTGTTCCTCTGGAACAAAACCAGACCGGTCATCGGCTGGGGCGAGGGCGACACCTGGGACCTTCACCTTCCCTGGGGGGTCCTGAAAGAGTAGTCACACCCACTTGAACCTCAGTGTCCCCATCTGTACATGGGCCTCACTGTGAGGTCAGAGCAGACCTCGCCGGGCACTCAGCACTTACCAACCTCTTCCCCACCACCTGAGCCTTGATTTCCCTGGCTAGAACCCGCCCCCTGTGCAGCATGCAGCAATTTCGGCGTATGCTCGGGGTCCTTGGGTCTCCGCTCCCAGCACAGCCCTTGGAGGCAGGGATGGCCAAGGGTCTTTGGAGAGGGTGGGGTCCTCACACTGCACCCCACGCTGCATGGCCTTGATGGTCCCATCCTTTCTGGGCTTCATGGCTCCCTTCATTTTGGAAACAGGGTAAAATCAGGGTAACAAGGGGGTGCCTGGAAGGACTCTGGCTGCAGACCACAGAATGAAGCTAAATTGAGCCTCTGAATTCTACTGTCTCTCGACTCTTCAAAATTAATCCCATGATGTCCCCAAAGTGTGGCCCCTGTTGGCTCCCCCTCCTCATCCCATCCTGCCCTGATGGCTCCTCCCTGAACCCCTCACATTCCCGCCTCACGGCCTCTGCCCTGCTAGCCCGCTGCCTGGAGCCCTTCAGCCCAGCTCCTTTCTCATAGCCTTTATCGTCAGCTAATCACATTCTTGTCCCTCCTTGAACCAGGCCCATGAGGGCAGGGCCAGGCCTGTGTCCACCCCTGTGTCCTCAATACTGTGAACTATGCCCAGCCCTTGACAGCACTATAGTTGACACTTGTCAACTGACTAAACGTCCTTATTCCTCCTCCCCTGGAAGAGGCTCCCCCGCTCACTGCAACTAAGAGGAAACCAAGGGTCTGAGTTTCCTTCCCTTCCCTCACGCCCCTGACAGAGCCCCTACCGTTGGCTCACCTGGCTCAGGGGGCCCCTCCCGGGGCCTGGCAGGCAGTGGGCGGGGGCCGCGCGGGCGAGGGCCCGGCCGGGCCAGGGCCACAGGCCCCAGGAACTCCACGTAGGTACCCGGGAAGTCACCGCGCTGCCGAGTGCGCTCATTGAGGCCAGGCATCCAGCCCACGTTCTGCGGGCAGCGCTCGCTGCCCTCGGCTACACCCAGTACCTGCAGGGCCGCCCTGCTCACCACCAGCACGTCGCCCGGCAGCAGCTCCAGGTCCTCTGGCCGCTCCCGGCGGAATGGGTACAGTGCCCGGTATTGGAAGCCCTCCGCGCCAGCCATGGTGTACAGAGGAGGTCTGGATTGTCAGGTGGCTGCTAGGGACCCCATCAGCCGAGTGGGAGCCAGGAGGGTCCCCTGGGTCGGCTTGAGGTGCTCAGACCTCTGTTTCCACCAAGACCTTACAGGTGACACAGAGGATGCTCACGCGTTGCTTCCTGTCATTATTCCACAACCCTTACAAGGGTCACTCGTTGCTCCGTCCATCCTTCGTCAACTGGTGCAAGGAGGTCCGCAGCGTGGTCTCTGGTCACTCAGTTGCTACAACCCCCCTCAATCCAAAGGGCTGGGCTACAGCAGGCCACTTACTCCCTCATGTAGGGGGCCATCGGTGCCCGAAGCCGGTGGCTCTTTGGGCTGTGCCAGATGAGGGGGCCAAGGGCACAGGCTGTCACCATGCTCGGCAGAGGGTGCTGACCTAGGAGGAGATGGGCAAGGCAGGGGCAAGGCAGCATAAGTCAGGTTGAACTTCTCCCACTCCCAACTCTCAGAGGCAGGCCCAAACCCCAGGTTGCAGTCCCCTACTCACTGGGTCGCCTTGGGCTTTTCCTGTCTCTCTCTGGGTCTCACTTTCCCCGATGTAAAGTGGGTACAATAGTAAGTACCCTAAGGCCCTTCCTTAGGGTACCTGCCCCAGGCATACTGCATGCTGGGTAAACAAGCTCTGTTAGAGATGAGGAAACTGAGGCTCAGGGCAGGGAGGTCTTTGTCTGGCCGGGAAGCCACCACTCAAAACCCCAGATCTGCCTAACCTGAAGGCCCAGGATGGATGAGGAGAGGTAGCAGCCACCATGGCCAGATAGACACGGAGTGGGTAGGGCAACAGGAAACACTCAGGGTGTTGCGGGAGCCCTCAGAAGGGGTTGGGTCACCTGAGCACAGAAGGAGGCAGCTGGGGCACAAAGGGGTAGGAAAGGGGGTCCCAGCACAGTACCCCCTACACGGAGGCAAAGAGATCCCTGATCTCTGCAAGGGAGGAGTGAAGAGGCGTCCTGACTGACTCAGCGCTGGGCCCACAGTAGGTACTCAGAACATGACGGGGGTCGGTGGGAGGCTGAGGGGACCTTAGCACCAGGGTGATGGGTGGATGGCAGGAGGGCATTGCAGCTGCCAAGGGGGAGGCTTTTGTTTGCAGGGTGATGACCACCGCCCAGGAGCCACGCATCTCAGGGAGAGAGAGCTCACACACACACACATTCCCAGTCTCATCTTTGCAGGTTCAGTGCTTCGGAGAGGTTGGCGTGGGGGTGATTTTCTAGAAGGCAGGTCCTCACGAAAGACAGGAAGGGGCACTGGCCACATGCAAAGGCTTGAAGTACAAGTTAGCCCAGGGTGGCTCTAGGAAAGCCACCGACCACGCACGGCCTCTGCCAGGCAGAGGCTGGAGCTTCCCCCAAACCCCACTACCACCAGCACCACGAAAAGCCCCAGGAGGTGTCCGAGGGGCAGCAGAGGCTCCACATTCCGGGTGCCCCAACTTATCTGCTCCCTGGTCCCTGCATCCTCATTCTACAGGTGGGAAACTGAGGTCCAGAGAGGGAACGTCCAGGAAACCGCCTGGATTCGTTTGCCTGCACTCGTTTGCACACGTCTCGTGTGCGTGCCAGGGACCCAGCGCTCCCCGAATCTAATAGGCAGGGTGGCGGAGCCAGGCCTGGCGGGGATTCCGAGGCTGGAAGCAGGGCCTGCGCGCTCACGCGTGTTCAGACGCGCCCTCAGGCTTTCGTGGACCCCGCAGCCCACCCCAGGGACCGGAAGTGGAGCCGACCCCCGACCCTCGTACCCCACTATGCTCACACAATGCCTGGAGCCCCTCATTTCTGCTCGACTCCCCCACTCCCAGCAGTGCCTCCCTCCATTTCGGGCCGCGGATCCAGCCCCTTATCTTTGCCTGGAGGGTCCCCCGGTCTGTCCCCACCTTGCGCGGTGGCTGCACGGCTGCCAGGTAGAGCCCGCGGCCTCCAGGTTTCTGTAGTCCCCCGGGTCCTACGGGCCCACACTCTGCCTGGGAGCCCCGCATTTGCATGCACCCCCAGCCCCGCCTGCCACGCCATCCGGCCCAGACTTACTGGTCGTGGCCGCTAAAGCCGACGCCACGGCGGCCGTAACACCGAGCGGAGCCCGACCCGTGGCTCCACCAAGGCCGCCGTCAGCGACTCCGCGGGATCCCCGCCTCCGCCGCTGCCGAGGTTCCGAAGAGCTGGGCCCACCCCCGGCGGAAATAGCCGAGCATATTCGGGTCGGGCGGGTGAAGGAATGACGAGGTGGAGCCTGGGGACGTCCGAATGTTTCCGGAAAGAGCCGAACAAACTCGCGCGGGACTGGAAAGTAGAGGGTGCCCCGCAGATAGACAATCATTTCCGGAAACAGCCGAGCGCAATCGGATCAGATGATTGATTCCCAGGTTAGCCACGGCTGGACTTGGCTAATTTTAGATAAGACTCAGAGTCTGGAATAGCCGAGCGCAATCGGGTCTGACGAATGATTCGGAGGCTAGGTTCGGCTGTGCTCAACTGGGCTCGGAGGAGTTTAGAGATGCCGGAGGGATCCTGGAAGTGGCCGAGCGTGCTTCTGCAGGACTGGGAATAGAAGCTGAGTCCCGAGACTGGAATTTCTGGAGAGTCGAGCCTGCTCGGTCCCAAATGAGGCCCTAGGAAAGACGGGCCACCAGCTTCCAGAAATAGCTAAAGAATGGACGGCTGCAGAAGGCGGGCGATGCGACCCAGAGTTCAGGAAACAGGAGGCCGCGGAGTGGGAAAAAGGCTACCACAGAAAGCTATGGACACCAGAAGGTAGCTTAGTTGTTTAGAGCCTACTTCCTGATACACGAAGGCTGGGGGTTCGATCCCGTGTCAGGACACATAAAAGTATCAACCAATGAATGCATAAATAAGTGTAACAACAAATCAGAGAAAGCGAGCAAGCCGTGGACCAAAAAGCAGGGGTCGAAGGCGTTTCCATGGCAGCCCAGAGCGTCCGGAAGCAGCTGAATGAACTCCCGCCTATCCTATGCCGGAACACGCCCAACAGGGGACCAAATACAGACGGCTATTAGCCAAAGACGCTCGATAACAGGGGCGTGGCCAAAGGGTTCTGATTGAGAACTCCCTAAGTAACCAAACATACTGGGACTGAGCTGGGTTCGGGTGGAGACCAGCGTAATTTTAGGGCACAGCCCATGCAAGGATAAAAAGGACACAAAAGTGGTTTATTTATGAACAGAGTTCAGAGCCCCAGGCAGGTGTCTGAATGAAACGGAATTAGAGAGAAAAGGAAAGAAAGAGAGACAAAGATAGAAACACTGATTTGTTGTTCCACCCATCCATGCATCCATTGGCTGCTTCCCAGGTGTGCCCTGACCAGGGATGAAACCCACACCCCCGACAACTTGGAATGATGCTCTAACCAACTGAGCTTCCTGGCCGGGGCTGAAGGAAACTTTCAAGGGTGGAGCTCAGGATGAGTACTAATAAGGAGGGGGCAGCAGGAGACCAGGACAGGAATAGCCACCAGGAAGAATTTCAGTGCACTCCAATGCAGCAGTCAGCACGCACTTCAAATGACTTTGAGGCAGGGGTCTGTTTTCACCCCACCCCCACCCCACTCTTCCTTTACTCTTTTTGGGCCCTTGTTCATAAATCCAGACATGGGACCTCCTCTTTGTCAATGTAGGTTTTATTCACTGTCAGCTTCATGATGGAAGAAAGAAGCAAGTCATGCATAGCCTTGGTCTAGCTCCCACACTAGGCAGTGCTGGGAGAGGGGCGGGGAGGACACAGAGCAGGCTGCAGTATCTGGGAAGTGCCCAAAGCCATGTGGGGCACAGCGATCTTGCCAGCCACCTCCAAATGGGAGACGGAGGATTGGAGATGCCCCCACGGGCCACACAGCATCAGGGGCTGGCTGGAGTTAGCTGTACCTGCCATCAGGCTCTGCATTCAGGCTCCTCTGCTGACAAGGCCCACAGCGGGGCCTGGCTGCATGACTCAGTTATGGGACAAGTCTCTGCCCCTCGCCAGGCCTCTGTTCTTTGTCTCTGCCCCTCGCCAGGCCTCTGTTCTTTGTCGTTAAAATGGTGGTGATGACACCAGCTCCAGCCTTCTCAAGGCTGGCTGAGGGACAAGCCACAAATAAAAGAGCTTGGCACATAAAGTCATTGGGATTAGTTTTGTAAACAACAGGAAACCCAGGCACGGAGTGGAGAAGCCATTTTCCCAGAGCCAAGAGTGAAACTAAGATTCAGACATGGGTTTCACTCCCCCCAATTTGGGGTTTCTACTCAAATTTCATCCCAGGGAGGCTCTGACACATTGAGGGAACCATCAGGGGGTATTTCACAGACATCCCATGTTCTAGTGCTCACGCTGGTGGGCATGAGACATGTGGAATCTTGGCCAGGGTGGACATTCGTCTGCCCCAGCAGTGCCCTTTGAGGCTTCTGTCTCCTGGGGCATTAATGTCCCCCAGTGGAGCGGGTGACTCCTCTGCCTAGATCTGGTGAACTCCTACTCGCTAGTTGAAGCCCCAGTTCCCACATCCCCTAAGCCCAAAGGACTGGAGGCAGACTCTAGCCAGGCTGGTTTACGGAGGGAGGCTATGATGGTGGGAAGCAGCCTTCACCATCCAGTTCATCATGGGGATGACGGTTTTGTGGCTGAGGGGAATCAGTCTCTCTAGGTCACATCCAAATTGGGCCTGGACAAGTGATCTGGGCTGCATCCCCATCGGTGGGTCTTGGGTCAGCGATGGGATCAAGTAAAATACAAAAAACTAAAAAAAAAATTTTTTTACAAGTACAGAAAAATGAGAAAATAAGAACACATGTAACCTGTCCAAAGTGCTTCCTTCTGAGCCCCAGGGGCAGGGTCTGCAAATGGGGTCCCAGGTGCAAGGGGCAGGACCTGGGCGGCTCCATCAGGCTATTGTTTACAAAAAGTAATAAATTAGTCACAGGGATTTGCTGCTATTTACAATGCCACCCTCATCCCCCATTCCTGCCCTATCGCCCCTCACTGATGGGCACCAAAACGTGGAGGCACTTGACTCCACCTTCCAGCAAGGACTGTGATGGCTTCCTGCCTCCTGGGCATCACAGGCTGGTGGCCTCGTCTCCATTCAGGTGTCACTTGACTGAAAAAACCTTGCACAAAAAACGCACGACTTCCAGGCCAAGGGGAGGTCAGATGGGAGGGATCAGTCCTTCCCAGTGGGTTCCAGGGCTCCGGACACAGCCTCAGTGCCCTCCACCTCAATCTGCGGCATCACAGTGGGCGGCCTGGTGGCCTCCTCGGCTGGATCATCAAAGCTCACCTCCTGCACGGCCTCCTGCTTCTTGAAGGAGTCTCGGCGCTCGGACAAGTGGAGCCTTCGCATGACCACCAGCTCAGCATCGGGCCCGTGGCTGCGACGCCCTGGCTCCCCGTCCAGCCGCTCACCTGTACCCAGCTTGTCGGCCGACTGGCCCCGGCGCAACCTTGGAGACCGGGCGGGTGCAGGCAGGGGCGAGGGCGAGCGGGGCGGGGGTGCAGGCATGGGTGGGCAAGCCAGGGGGGAGGGTGGGATGCTGCTGGTGGACTTGCGGCGTCCGGCTTTAGGGCGGGGTGGCCCGAGTTTGGCAGCCAGGCCATGCAGGGAGCTGGGGCGGGTGTGGCCAGCAGCGGCTGGAGAGGCAGGGCTGCTGGAGCTCGGAGATGCACTGGGTGGGGATGCGGTGTCTGTGGGTGACAGCTGAAGGTCAGGGCCACCGGCCTTGTCCCTCGCCTTGAGGTGGGGCCCTGAGACTGACTGCACCTGCCGAAGCCTACAATGTTCCACGTGGCCACCTGCCATCCCTGCTTTTTCTGCCTCTTGCTGTTTGCAAGCCTGTTCCCTTGGCTTAGATCTGGTGAACTGCTACTCATCCATCAAAGCCCTGGCTCCTAGTCACCCTCTTCTCACCTAACGACTCATCACTCATTGGGCCAAAGATGCCCATTCACAGTCCATCTGTCCACTCGTCCCCAGACTTATCCAGCAAGGGCCCTGCTCACCTCCCCACTCCCGGGCCTCAACACCAGAGGCTGCCTGGTCTGAGAAAGGCAGAGATGGCATGGGTAACCCCCAACCCCTAGGTCGAGTTGAGGGGTGGTCAGAGGGAGAGAAGTGGTTGGGGTCACCAGGAATCAGCGAGGGCTTCCTGGAGGAGGAGATCTCTGGTCCTCCTCCAGAGTCCTTCCCTGCCTCTCCTCTGGGTTGCCCCAGCCTGTCTCTCACTGTTGGACCAAGTCACCATCCTTTCCTGCACCAAAACGATCTTTCCGTGCCCTCTCTTGCCCACACATCCTCTGTGGTTCCCTACTGCCCACCAATCCAAGCCCCGCTCTTAGGCCTGAGCCATCCCCCAGGGCCCCCTTTCCGGCCTCCCCTGGCTTTCCCATCCCTCCCGTCTAGACCCCTTTCTTCACGACGTTCCCTCTGCCGGGCAGACGCTTGCCTGCCCCTGCCCCTATCTCTGCCTAGGCCCAGGCTGCCTGGCAATTGGAAAGGCCCTTCCAGTCATCCGTTCCCTACATCATGTTGTTCCACCTTCCCATCTCTGCCTGCTCCCTCCTCCCCAGGTGGTCCTGAGTGCACCCACCTGCCAGGGCATCAGAAGCAGGGCTGCGGCAGGGCATGGTGGGGCTGGGGGAGAGGCTGTGGGTGGGGGAGCCTGGGAGGCTCTCGCTGGACGACAGGGAGTGGTGGAGGCCGGAGGAGAAGCTGCGGCTGGTGTGCAGCACTGACGACTGTTTTGAGATCTTCTTGAAGAGCGACTTCCGCCTGCGGGTGAGAACCCCGGGTAGTCCGATACCCCCGCTCTCAGCGGGGGCTTTGGGACCACTACCTCCAGTGCCCCACCCACCCACCCCAGCTGATACAGGTTCCCCCATCCATGCTCCCTGACTGCTCACCGGTCCTGTGTCTCACGCCGGCGGCTCCGCTTGCTCCTGCGCGCCATGCGGCC